CCCCCCCCCCCCAATATTTCGTGAAGTGTCCACCACTGCCTTAAATCAATGCATATTCATTACACGAAACCAACCCACCTTTTGCCATGGTGAAAACCACCTCAGTTCTCTGTAATTGCCATCGTTTGCCATAACCATTTTCGGCCTGATCAACAAAATCTTTCGATTGTAAAAGATGACCTTGCAATTATAACGTACACTTTTATGCTGCACAGGCATTCCGATATCGCAAACGATGTCCTGAGCGACGGGCGATTTTAAAATACATGCCAAGACTTGGAACGAGTGCAGAAACGTGTCGTCTTCAAGGAAATGGTCCTCACACCCATAACCTGAAAACATATGAATTAGCATGACTCAGAAGCAGGGCTTGAATTTTATCGCGGCAATTGCCGTAGAGGGAGAAGAAAATGCCGTGGATCAATTGGCGGCAATTTTTTGCCGTATAGTATAATTTTTACACTATTCACTGTGCATACTATTTTGATACTTGAATTCAGATGTTGATCAAATCATGCGTAAACTACCATTTTAGTCTCAGTTTTCTTCGAAAAAAACACTAAAGAAATAAGTAAACATGTTTCTACCTTGTCAGCAATCCAAATAACAATAAATTAAAATTTTTATTACAGTAATTTGAAAAAATGCCGTGGAAACTGCCTAAATTGCCGTAGACAGCTGTTACCTTCCTACGGCAATTTTTAACGCCATTAAATTCGAGGCCTGCTCAGAAGATATAGCTCTCATTCATAATGGCTGTCATACGTTTTACTCAGGGGCGGATCTACCGTGGGGGTACTAAGACACTCCACTTAGTGGTGTCCAACGTCTCCCTACAGAAGTCCAGCACCATGCATGCACCCCCAAAAAATCTGCTTGACCATACATTTTTTGCTTTCGAATAGCAATTAACGAAACTTCTACTGTTAGCGCACGCCCATTTCTTGAAACGATTAATTGATTTGTGAGCTCACAAGAAAATACTCAGAATGTTTTAGTTAAATATCATGGTTAAATATGTAAACATGTCGAGGTTGTTATAATCATACAGCAATATTTACAAAAATACTGTACTTTAACAAGCAAACTTACTGTACTGTGCTACAGCAACTGTCCAGTCAGGCATACGTGATAAAAAGCCGATATAAACTTTATAAACAGAAGATAATGTAAAACGTAACAGAACGGCGAACATGCAGATTCGACCATCTGCCCATCTCAAAATAATGGTATAAATGTTGGGATAGTAGCGTTGCAGAGGAGAGTGGGCAGTAAGGCTCCCTCATGCACCACCCCATGGAAAACCTGCACCCCTCCTTGCAGATGAGGCTAGATCCGCTCTTGAGGTTGATCACCATATACTGTTCTTTTTAAAAAAGCGAAACCATATTAAACCTACCTGAAACTTCGAGCTCTGGGCCAAGTCTGTAACATGCTCCCTTCGCTTTTGCTTCGCTTATACTTTGTAAGATTCGTTTTAAATTGCCTTCGAAGTCCAAAGCCCATTGATTGAGCGAACAAGCAGCTAAAGTAATCTTTCGACAAGCCATACTGCTCGAGATTCTGTTGTTTTGCTTTCGATTTCAACTTTTGCTTTCGATTCAAAGTTGTTTTTGTTTTTGAATTTTGTGACTTTTGTCAGTCGGTCATTTCAGCATCAAAAGTTGACACCCCCCGGTTTATCTTAAGATAAAATATATTTTACGGAGGGGACATAAAAATATACTAGCCTAGTTTCTCCACTTTACGTAACCCCCGGTTTATATTACGATAATATCTATTTTACGGGGGAATTGAAAAATATAACTAGCTTAGTGTCTCCACTTTGCCTATATAGAAATATCATTGCGAAAATTCTCTTCCTTTGTTTGTGTGATGTTATTTTCTTCCTTTGTTTTCCTTCGCATTTTCAATAGCAAGAGTTCATTCACTCCCCCGGTTTATATTATGTTTAAATATATCTATCAGGGGGGTGAGAATTCAAGCCAATTGCGCAATACTTTATGAAATATCGCTTATAAAAGTGGAAACGCGAGGGAGTGAACTGCAAACAGGAAGCCTTATCGTTTGTGTTTACATATATATTTTGTACTTCAAAACCTAAAAACCTTTGTAAATTTTTATATTTTTCCAAAAAAATGTGGAGATCAGCGGCAGGACATAACGTTCAACTAGATAATGCTGACGACGATGACTGGGACACCGATCCTGATTTTGTTGTAAGTTTTTTGAAAGTTTTTTGGAGAGCATTCCTGCATCCGTAATAAAGATCGACATCGAGGAGGTCGTTCTGATGGTGATCTTTCGATGTCGGTTTTAAGCTAAAATTCAGCGAATTGTTGGCTATCAGTACGATATTTATTAAGATATCAGTTCGTAGTTGCTGCGTCATCGTTCCCTGGCTATCAGTTAAGATATTTTGTCAAGAAAATGGTCATGAACTCACAAGTCTTTGGGCAGTGAACCCCATATTTTAATTTGGCCCTCATATCGGTAAATTTCGACAATATCCAGCCATCGATATAAGCTTAAATGGTCAAGCATTGTTTAAAAGTTTGTTTAAGCTAGAAACATTAAAGTTTTATTAGCAAATTGATTAAGCTTATAATTGATTTCTCCATTTTAATCATTTTATAAAATGTGGAAGTAGGTTGTTTATAATACTACCGTATAAGGATGTAGTTTACTTCCGGTCAGATATCGATTACATTTTCATAGTTTTGAAGTCAAAAAAGACTTTTATTTTGTTTGCTAGCTATTTTATTGTATATAGGCAAGCAGATTTGCTTAATATAATGAGATCTGCTTGCATTGTGGAGGGTTTTGGTTAATATTAATGACCTTGTTTTGAAAATATTCATAAATCAGTGAAAAGCCAACACACCAACCCTAGCTGAGGGAAAAGCCTTGGTGAAAGTGCATTAACTGAGCTAACTTTATTTATACTGGATAGCTCTATCAGTTCTAAACTGTTCTGCCTAGAGGTCCAGTAAGGATCATCTCTTATTGATCCAGTGTTACTACAGGAGAAAACCTAAACTAAACTAACTTTATTTATACTGGATAGCTCTATCAGTTCTAAACTGTTCTTCCTAGAGGTCCAGTAAGGATCATCTCTTATTGATCCAGTGTTCTTCCTAGAGATGCAGTATGGGTAATCAAATATTGATCCAATGTTTACTATAGGAGGAAGCCTAAACCAAACTAATTTTGTTTTTCTGGATATTACCATTTGCATTCAAGCATGACACGTTAAACGACGGGCAGAAATATATTAGTCCTTGTAATTTTATTTTGGTTTGTTGTCTCGACTCGACACAAAAGAGAAAATGACTGTTGCAAAACGCAAAGTTACCCCCATGTCATCATTATTTTGACATGTGAAACGTAAAGTTTCCAATCACAACGTTGGTTGCAAAACTCAGAAACAACTTTTTATCGCTATTAGTTAGTTAGTTTATTTGAACTTCCATGGCAGCATACACTGAATTGCAGAAGTTTTACATTATGATTAGATAGATCAACCGGACTGACGTAAAGCAGACCGAGGTAGACTTTGAGCTTACAAATGGCGCTTGAGCAACCGCTATTAGTCCATACCTCATTAATGATCTGCCTCCAGACCTTGTGCCTAACCCACCCTGTCAACTTTCCCTGTGGGAGGAAACACGGAGTACCCGGAGAGAACCCACAACTTTCGGCAGAGCGTTGACTTACTCTTTCCACATTAGGACTGGGTTCGAGTCACAATGAGAAGTCCTCATTGAGATTCGAACCTGCGGCCTTAGAGGTGAAAGGCAAGTGTGCTACCCACTTCGCCCCTACCCCTATGCGAGGTAACACTGTGTCACAAACACCTAATTTGATCATTTGTACACAGAATGATGTGTCTGAAAAAGAGCAACGATGGGGAGCAAAGACCGTTGAAGGTTCTGGACACATGGAGTCCATAAAGTATGTGATAAGTAAATTATCTTTACTGTCGTTCCAATTGAACTGTTGCTCAAATATTGATTCAATACATTACCTTGGGCTGACCAATTCATTTTATCAAGTTCCTCGAGATATTCATGCACTTCCTAGTATAATTGTAAACTTCCTGTTGAATAGTTTGAATGCGCCAATCACCTTTGTTGTTTGTGCAACTAACCAATCATAAATAGAAAGAAAGTGACCAGAAATGATCAAATACTTGGAATTGGCTCTTTCACAGGAAGTGTATGAATATCTCGAGGAACTTGATCAAATGAATTGGTCAGCCCGAGGTAATGTATTGAATCAATATTTGAGCAACACTTCAATTAGAACGACATTAATATTACCTGGTATATCTCCACTTCTGATGATGCAACCATGCTTGACCTACTCTACTCTTTTTAAAGCATTAAAGATCTACGACAAAATGTCACGCAAGACCATCAGAAAATTAAGAAAGGTAACATGTTAGCACCGGAACTGAGAATGATTAACCAAAAAATCTGACAATGTCTTTAGTTAACCCATTGAGCTGCAATGCACCCCAGTGCACCCTACTTATTTTTCTTTACTTGTCTAATGCCAGATGATTTTACTTGTCAATGGGGAAGCTCTGCAGTTTAATGGGTTCTAATTACTTGGAAAGTTAAGCCATTAAAGAATTGTATTGTTGGTTGCCAGTGATATCTGGTCAGAGGTGGACATGTTTGAATATTTATAGTAAAATAAAGAATGATTTTAATACTTTGTATACTTTTACTTTCTTTGTAGACGAGGCCTCTAAAGGGTATCCTTTTGATGTGCATTTATGATTTAAAAATGCAAGCTGTAACAAACCTGCAGCAGACTTGTAGAAATGCTGTTCCAACAACTTGTCAACAGGATGTGTTCGTACTGCTTGTTCACAGCTTGTTGACAAGTTGTCGAAGGCTTGTTGGCAACTTGCTACAAGGTTGCATGCTGAGATCAACAGACTTGTCACAAGTTGTTCCAACAACTTGTTATCGTCCTGCAATTCAACAATTTCTCAACAAGTTGCGAGTGACAACCTTGTAGCAACTTGATTAAATAACAGTGTTGTTGCGAACACATCTTGTTGACAAGTTGTGAGATTTTTACCTGTGTATATGTTTACATAATAATTCCCGACATTAATGTAACCCTTTAAGTGGCAATGCGCTCTACTTTATTATTTTACTCTGTCTAACACCAGACGATTTTACTTGTCAGGGGGAGAGTGCTGCCACTCAATGGGTTAGATAAATATTTAAGTGGGATTGTTATATTTTCTTATTTGATACCCCCCCCCACCCCCCCAATTCACCCAGGTTCAACCTTAACTAACAATTAGACCTAAAGCATCTTATGGATATGGTGGGCAGTTTGGTGTTGAAAAGGACCGCATGGACAAGGTGTGTTATGTGCTATTATATACTAATATTAAAAAAGTATCAAGATTTTGTTGGCGTCTCACTCGATTGATAATAGTTGAAGAGTCTTGTAGATGGAAATTATTGAGTGGAAATTTTAAGTACTATTTAAAACTTGAGCAGCAGTGTTTTATCAGATATAAAGGTCTTTAGGTCTGATAAAACACGCACTGTGAATGTTTTAAATTGCTTCAAAAATGATCGATCTAGTAAGTTCATTGGTGAAGTAATTTTCAGAAAATACATTGTGTAAGTTGAGAAAATCAAAGTTAAAGTTTATTTAAATCAAGGGAAATCTTTATCACATATAAAGATACGACACGCTTATGATTTTTCTTTGTGTTTTCCTCATGAATAATTAATGAGTTTTTGAAATGGTACATAAAATTTACACACGATAATTTGCATCTACAAAAGTACCCTTCATCTATTATTCAATCGAATGAGATGCCAACAAAATCTTACAGGGTACCCATACATCGACATGGCAGTATCCTTAGTATATATACATGAACTTGTGGTTAGAGTTCGACAACTGTCTCTCTGTAGCTCAGTTGGTTAGAGCTCGACAACTGTCTCTCTGTAGCTCAGTTGGTTAGAGCTCGACAACTGTGTTTCTGTAACTCAATTGGTTAGAGCTCAACAACTGTCTCTCTGTAGCTCAGTTGGTTAGAGGCTTAGAGCTCGACAACTGTCTCTCTGTAGCTCAGTTGGTTAGAGCTCGACAACTGTCTCTCTGTAGCTCAGTTGGTTAGAGCTAGACAACTGTCTCTCTGTAGCTCAGTTGGTTAGAGCTCGACAACTGTCTCTCTGTAGCTCAGTTGGTTAGAGCTCAACAACTGTCTCTCTGTAGCTCAGTTGGTTAGAGCTCGACAACTGTCTCTCTGTAGCTCAATTGGTTAGAGCTCAACAACTGTCTCTCTGTAGCTCAGTTGGTTAGAGCTCGACAACTGTCTCTCTGTAGCTCAATTGGTTAGAGCTAGACAACTGTCTCTCTGTAGTTCAGTTGGTTAGAGCTCAACAACTGTCTCTCTGTAGCTCAGTTGGTTAGAGCTCGACAACTGTCTCTCTGTAGCTCAGTTGGTTAGAGCTCGACAACTGTCTCTCTGTAGCTCAGTTGGTTAGAGCTCAACAACTGTCTCTCTGTAGCTCAGTTGGTTAGAGCTCGACAACTGTCTCTCTGTAGCTCAGTTGGTTAGAGCTCGACAACTGTCTCTCTGTAGCTCAGTTGGTTAGAGCTCGACAACTGTCTCTCTGTAGCTCAGTTGGTTAGAGCTCGACAACTGTCTCTCTGTAGCTCAGTTGGTTAGAGCTCGACAACTGTCTCTCTGTAGCTCAGTTGGTTAGAGCTCGACAACTGTCTCTCTGTAGCTCAGTTGGTTAGAGCTCGACAACTGTCTCTCTGTAGCTCAGTTGGTTAGAGCTCGACAACTGTCTCTCTGTAGCTCAGTTGGTTAGAGCTCGACAACTGTCTCTCTGTAGCTCAGTTGGTTAGAGCTCGACAACTGTCTCTCTGTAGCTCAGTTGGTTAGAGCTCGACAACTGTCTCTCTGTAGCTCAGTTGGTTAGAGCGCTGCACCGGAATCGCAGGGCCGCAGGTTCAATTCCTTCCAGAGGGCCTATATATAGATGCATTTTTCGCAGCTGTTCCTGGTTAGGTCTAATGAATGTATGTGGAATTTCCACTCGATAATTTCCATCTACAATACCCTCCATACCTGTAATTGTCTCCCAACACCAGTAATGGAACTTAGGTAGTTCGTGAGATCTAAAAACAAGAAAGTGTATCAACAACAGGCCATACGTACTAAACTGATCGAGTGACATGCAAAAGAAAACCAGTCTGCTATTACAATATAATTGTCTTCCCTGGACTAGAAAGATTGGCGTACCTGTGGAAATAGTTTCTGAACAGACAAGTCAAATCATTTGGTGGCTGTGTAGCAATGTGGTAGAAATTGCTTGCATGGCCAATACAATGAACCACTGAAAAGGAATGAAAACGTAAATTATGGACAGCGTGGGTTGTATTTTACAATACAGTACAACGCTTTGTGTTTGAATTACCAGAAAAAAATCAGAAAATGTTTGGAGTAAGAGTCATATATCTCTTATCGATCCAGTGTCACTACAGGAGGAAACCCAAATTAAACTAACTTTATTTATACTGTCAGTTCTAAACAGTTCTCCCTAGAGGTCCGGTAAGGGTCATCTCTTATTGATCCAGTGTTATTACAGGAAGAAACCTAAACTAAATTAACTTTATTTATACTGAATAGGTCTATCACTTCTAAACTGTTCTTTCTAGAGGTACAGAAATTATCATCTCTTATTGATTCAGTGTGAACAGAGGAGGAAACCTAAATTAAACTAACTTCATTTATACTGGATAGTTCTATCAGTTGTAAACTGTTTTCGGTAAAGGTCCAGTAAGGGTCATCTCTTATTGATCCAGTGTTACTACAGGAGGAAACCGAAACTAAATTAACTTTATTTATATGGGTAGCTCATCAGTCCTAAACTGTTCTCCCTAGAGGTCCAGTAAGGGTGATCTCTTATTGACCCAGTGTTATTACAGGAGGAAACCTAAACTAAATTAATTTTATTTATACTGGATAGTTCTATCAGTTCTAAACTGTTCTTCCTAGAGGTCCAGTAAGAGTCATCTCTTATTGATCCAGTGTGACCAGAAGAGGTAACATACACTAAACTAACTTTATTTATACTGGATAGCTCTATCAGTTCGAAACTGTTCTCGCTAGAGGTCCAGTAAAGGTGATCTCGAAATATAGTGTATTGAACATGTACCTGTAAACAAGAAAGCCCATAATGCGATATATTTATGGAACAAAACGTTCGAATCAAAGGGTACATAATGTCCAAAAAACGTTTCTCGTAAGAAGGTAATGAGATTTCGACACATGGTGACCAAGAGCGAGGAATATGTGAACATCATAGCACTTGCAGCACCTCGCGTCACCGTGACACCATAACCCGCGATACGACGTAATCCTCCATGTTCACGTTCCACTGAATAATCTAAGTATGAAGAAATACGTAGAATATTATAAAACTGTCTGTACCAGTGTGGGTAGCACCAATGTGAAAATGCTGTGCTGAGTGGTTCTATTACTATCTTAAAAAATAAGCAGAAACTCGACGTTTCGAGCGAAGGCCCTTCGTCAAATATTGGAGACAAAAAAACAATGTCAACAGTCATATATATATCAATACAATACGTAACACCAATCAGAGTCACTATCTTGACCATTTCCGGATTTGTCAGGAGGGAAATTGTGTCTCCAATGAAACTACATGTGCAGACAACATGAAACTTTAGACTGCAGAAAATTGCACAAGGGCCTTCGCTCGAAACGTCGAGTTTCTGCTTATTTTTTAAGGTAGTAATATAACCACTCAGCACGGCATTTTCACGTAGGGTATTATAGTCTGGGAGATAAAGGAATTATATTAATATTTAGAGCAGTAAAAATATTTAATGGCCTCCTCCATTTGTTTTGATTCAATGAAGAAATAGAGAGTTTAAGATCTACGACGCGGCAAGTTATTCATAGTCATTTCTTGGCCTGAGAACATTGCAAAGGATTTGCATTTTCGACAGCTTTGAAAATCACCTGAATGTTCGTGATGTCTTTTCCAATCTTCTCTCAAACAAAGAAATTAGCCATTCCTAAGTTGATGAGACGACTGGGGACGAGTGTTAAAAAGTGCCCAAATTAAGAAATGAACCGAATCATTAAAAAGACCACCTCAAAATTCGTAAGTATACAAAGTTTGAAGACATTTACATGAATACTCTTCGAATAATAAGCTTTCGAAAATCGCGATGTTTACTATGAAATGTACTGTAATTTTTGTTTTTGGGGACGCGCGTCCAAAAACAGTCCTTTAATCAGTAATTTCACAATTTTCGAAAGCTTATTATTCGAAGGGTATTCATGTAAACATCTTCAAACTTTGTATACTTACTAATTTTGTGGTGGTCGTTTTAGTGATTTGGTTCATTTCTTAATTTGGGCACTTTTTAATACTCGTCCCCAGTCCACTCATCAACTTCGGAATGGCTAATTCTTCAGGCAAGACAAAAACTATGAATAATTTGTGGTCCCAGCGTTTCCATTGTGAATACAACGTTAAGGTGGCTCCCTACAGATGTTTAAGCATGAGACTGGTAACGAAATGATGCGATGTTGTCGAGTCGAAATTTTATCACGTCAGGAAAAATTTCAATGGACCTTATGCATAATGACGTCACAAGGCTTGATGTCCGCGAGGAATGCTGCTCCTAGTAGTCATTGCCCGGGAAAATTAAACAATTCAAAATGGTCACTATCGAAATTTACCCGAGCGATGACTACTAAGACCAGCATTGGTCGCGGGCATCAAGCCTTGTGACGTCATTATGCATAAGGTCTATTGACCGCGCAAGGTTTGTAATGCAATAACGGCTTTGTCATTCTCAACACAATGTTAAACCAAGCATTATCACAGTAATCAAAGTACTTAGCGCTCATTCTTGAACTAAAATTGAGACCACGTCGTTGCGTTTGCCGCATATAGTAGATCTTAGGCTCTCTATCGCAAGAACAAGGCTAATTAAAAGGCAATTTTTTTCAATGTCACGTATTTGCAATGAAAAGTGTTCAAAACCTAAAATCTTTTTGGCGTTCCTCTCAAAATTACTTTGTTTTAGCTTTATTCTGTAGTTTATAGAGTTGGCTACCTTTTTAAATGCATCTGCCGGTTGAGAAACATAAAATAATAGTTTAAAATTGTCAATTAAAATACAATTAAGAATGATGCTTGGAAATTGACGCCATATTTACAGCCATATAAGCAAAACTTACTGAACTTCAGACATAATTTTCTCTTTCTCTTCATTTTAGCATTATTTTACAGATAAAGCACTAAACATACTTTTTAAGTTTGTTTGCCGATTGAGAAACGTATGGAAAAATAAAAATTTTGAATTTAGTCATAACCTCAAGTGGTATATTATACGCATTAGTTTTGAGCGCGTGTTACGTAACATGAAGTTGATGCTACTTACAATAAGCTCTTTCAGCAAAGATGGCAATCAATACCAAGGTATACAGAACAGCGATGAAGATATCAGGCACATGATTGGACACATATCTCGCGAAAATTGTCCAGTTTTTCTTTATCACGTTATCGTAATCCTTCGTCTTCTTTGTAGCAACTTTCACTCTCGTTGGAGTCCGTTTTGGTGCGCGGTCAGAAGTGGCGCTAAAGTATTTGAAATTATATGAAACTTAGGGACTGGTCATAATTTATCAGGGGGTGGGGGGTGGGGAGGTGTAATTCAAAATTTTAAGGAATGATATTTTGTGACCCTGCTTTGCCATAACCCGGAAAAATAATGCCCCCCCCTCTCTCTCTCTTGCTGGTGTCAGTAAAAATGTACCTTCCTACTACTAAACCCTGCATTCAATAAATTTTCTAATTGCACTTTAAATTTTCTAATTGTGCTTTAAATCAAATCAATTTTTTTCAATAGTGCAACTGAAACAAAATGTGAGAAGGCATGTATAAAACAATTAATTGAACTAAAACAGCAGACCCCCTCCCCGCCTTCATAAACTGTCTAATATTTTATGAACCCCCTTTTTGCTGGCTAAAAAATGTGACCCCCCTCCCCCCACTGTTTCCACCTCCCCACCCCTTCTGCTAAATTATGACCAGTCCCTTATAGAGGGTATTCAACGACCGCCGTTAGTGAATGGATCTATTACCTAGTGAACAAAATTTTGATCTAGACAAGTTTTCAAAAATTTCATCACAGCTTGAAAGAGCATCACAAAATTAGTAATATTCCGAAGTTTCGTTGCGAAATGTTGTAAAATCGGGATAATATAGCCCTGCGAAGTTTGCCGTTTTTCAGTCATTTTGTATTACGCACGGGAAATTGGTACCGTTTTCCACAACATTTCGCAACGAAACTTCGGAATATTACTAATTTTGTGATGAAATTTTTGTCTAGACTTATCTAGATCAAAATTTTGTTCATTACGTAATAGGTCCATTAAGGTGATTCGTCAGTAATTGTTCTGGAAACGACAATTTGCTGAAACGTTCCAGGGGTGAAGTTTATGATATGCCCATGGTAAAAACTGGAAAAAAAGTTGGGGCCAACGAACTCGTTTCGAAGATATGACAAGTGCAATATGCTACCTTCTCCCCCATATGGCGCCATCTTGACCCTTTTGCGAGTTACAGGAACAATCGCAAATGCTCAACCGTTATTGAATTTTTTTTAACAAGGATCTTACTAAAAATGTCTACTTAGTAATTATATACAAGAAAACATGGTGTTCTAGCGAATCAAAAACCACTGACGTGCATTGTCGTGGTGCAAAGATGTCTTTTCGTACCTTCTCAGACATGTTATTTTGGGAAGCATGCGCGAAAAATGTAAAATATTATAAGTTGTAGAAATGATTTTTCTCTTATTTTCTGACATGGCATGTAAATTATTTTCTGACATGGCATGTAAAACGTATAGAAGAACAAAAATATAAAATTAAAAAGTAGGCTCAAACTGTATGGACTGGTTTCTGCAAAGTTACAGGGCATTGTATTTGAGGGCAAGTTTGTAACGCTTTCAGGAACACAACGATTTTTACGTCGACTTACTCCAAATGTTTGATGACAGTTTTTCTTGCACGAGTTGGAGCATTTTCCCTCTTTTTCTTTTCACCCGTACCCGCCTTAGGTACATCAACACCGGTTCCTGTAGCAGGAATCACAGCATAAGATATAATACAAATGCACTTAATGCTCATCAAGAATTGATCCAATGTTACTACAGGAGGAAACCTCAACTAAACTAACTTTATTTATACTGGATAGCTTTATCAGTTCTAAACTGTTCTTCCAGAGGTTCAGTAAGTGACATCTCTTATCGACCCAGTGTTACTGCAGGAGGAAACCTAAACTAAACTAACTTTATATATACTGGATAGCTCTATCAGTTCTAAACTGTTCTTCCTAGAGGTCCAGTGAGAATCATCTCTTATTGATCCAGTGTTACTGCAAGAGGAAACCTCAACTAAACTAACTTTATATTTCCTGGATAGCTCTATCAGTTCTAAACTGTTCTTCCTAGAGGTCCAGTGAGGATCATCTCTTATTGATCCAGTGTTACTACAGGAGGAAACCTAAACTAAACTAACTTTATATATACTGGATAGCTCTATCAGTTCTAAACTGTTCTTCCTAGAGGTCCAGTAAGGATCATCTCTTATTGATCCAGTGTTACTACAGGAGGAAACCTAAACTAAACTAACTTTATATATACTGGATAGCTCTATCAGTTCTAAACTGTTCTTCCTAGAGGTCCAGTAAGGATCATCTCTTATTGATCCGGTGTTACTGCAGGAGGAAACCTCAACTAAACTAACTTTATATATACTGGATAGCTCTATCAGTTCTAAACTGTTCTTCCTAGAGGTCCAGTAAGGATCATCTCTTATTGATCCAGTGTTACTACAAGAGGAAACCTCAACTAAACTAACTTTATTTATACTGGATAGCTCTATCAGTTCTAAACTGTTCTTCCTAGAGGTCTGGTAAGAATCATCTCTTATTGATCCAGTGTTACTACAGGAGGAAACCTAAACCAAACTAACTTTATTAATACTGGATAGCTCTATTGTTCTCCCTATGGAAGTCTAGTAAGGATCATCTCTTATTGATCCAGTGTTACTACACAGGGATATTTTCAAGCACTTTAGGCTACTACTGTTTTTCAGAAGAAGATTGAGTTTCGTTTGGGGGGGAGGAGGACTTTGGGGGAGGAGAAAAATTTTGTGTTCAGGGGCGCACATTCCAAAATATTTTGGAGGGGTGTAAAATATTGCGGGACCAACTTTTTAAGTGTTTACATTTTGGAGGTGGGATGATTTGAAACTTTGAAGTCTCCAGGTCGTCGGAAATGGCATTTTCAAAGTCTAGTTTGGCCATCAGCTAGCTGTAGAGCACAGAAAGAAAGTTGATAATGGAACACTTACATTAAAAAAAATCAAATTGTGAAAAAGAATTATTGTGGAGGAAGATTGAGTTTCGAAACTCAATTGAAGATTGAGTATTTACTATCGTATACCGGTAGTAGAAAAGTGCTTGAAAATATCCCTGACTACAGGAGGAAAATTAAACTAAACCAGACTAACATTATTCACACTGAATAGCTCTATCAGTTCTAAACTGTTCTTCCTAGCGGAGTACCTTGACACAGAACACTTACCTGACAAGTTAAGTTGGGCATCTTCCAAATTTTCTTTATATTCAGCCATGACAGCTCTGAAGTCGTCAAATGTCAGCTCATCCTTGTTTGTAAAGCCAGCTTGGGAGAACATCGAGTCAGTGAGGGCATCCAGCTGGTCGGATTCAACGTCAGCATTCACCAGTTCCATGAACGACCTGGGAACAAACACAGTGTTAAACATACTTTCTATACAAACCGTATTTTATTGTATAAGTGAGTAAATGTTATAAGAACAAACTTTCGTTGGTAAGGACACAACTACCTGAAAATATAAGGAGAATTTCGATGTTTCGAGCGAAGGTCCTTGCCTGTAACTCTCTTGACATATTTAACAATTAGACAACGAGGCCGAGTTGTCTATGAGCGAATAGTCAACGAGGCGAAGCCGAGTTGACTATTTGCTCACAGACAACGAGGCCGAGTTGTCTAATTGTTTTAGTATAAACTTTAACATTAATTTACAACTAGGCTGCAAACACAATACAAAAATACACAAAAAACATTATAAAGGTAAGGTATAGTATGTATAGGTAAACAAATATTTTAGTTTTTGTTCGCGTAAAATGTTTTACAAAATTCAGTTTTAATCTTAAAATTTCATTGAGTGTATGTTATTTTGTCTATTTTTTTACCCTTAAAAATTGCCATTCCATATTTTTGTTGCTTTTTTCGGGGGGTTTTTAGTACAGAATTGTTCAACAAGTCGTCCAAAAAATCATCAGACACTTCGGCAGGCTATCATCACTAAATCATCAGACACTATTAGTAGGCTATCATCACTAGTAGCCTACTAGTAGCGTAGCCAATCAGAAGGCACGATATGTGATAGCCTACTAGTAGGTTTATACTAATTTCAGATAGTTGCATGTTGCAGGTTGACCACAATCTGCTGCACGATAGTGCTTGGTGAAGCCTAACTATGGACTAATCAGGGTTCGTACATGTGAGGTAGAGTCAAATACAAGGACTTTTCAAGGCCATGTATCAGCAAATTCAAGGACTAAATACTCACGAAAAGGGGTTAGAAATCAGTAAAATCTGACGTTGAATTGTTCAAAACGCAATTTTGATGAGTTTCAAACAGCTTTGTCAGATATGAACATGCAAAATCAATGGACCTTTCCCTTTATAACTAAAATTTCGATCTAGACAAAAATTTCATCACAGCTTGAAAGAGCATCACAAAATTAGTATTATTCCAAAGTTTTGTTGTAAAATCTTGTAAAATGCGGATAATATAGCCTTGCGAAGTTTGCCGTTTTTCAGTCATTTTGTATTACAAACGGGAAATTGACATCCGATTCGGGTGTTGGGGCTGCAATTTCCCGTTTGTAATGCAAAATGACTGAAAATTGCGAACTTCGCAAGGCTCTATTTTCCTCATTTTACAACATTTCGGAACGAAACTTTGGAATATTACTAATTTTGTGATGCTCTTTCAAGCTGTGATGAAATATTTGTTTAGACTTGCCTAGATCAAAATTTTGGTTATAAGGGGAAAGGTCTATTCAACAAAATATCCGTTTTGAATGTCAAACAATTTCAGAAAATATCCAAAAACTACGGCAAGAAACATTTTAAGATTTTCAAGTACTTCTTTACAAATTCAAGGACATTCAAGGCCTTTTAAGTTTTGTACGAACCTTGACTAATGTTGATCAATTAGAGAAGAGTGCTTTCGGGAAACACTCGAGGTTTTTATGATTGACTTACTTGATCATTTGTTTAAACTCGTCCCGACCGAGCTTTTGATTGCCAGAAACATCGTACATGTCGAAGAACAATCTCAGTTTCTCGTCTGGGGTACCTGTGATGGAAAATGGAAATAAACATCAGAATCTTGTGGTGTGGTGATCACCATGCTTGCCTTTCGAGCTCAGAGACCTGGGTCCAATCCTTGGTCGGACCTCTACTCAAGGTCTTAAAATAATTGAGGAGAAAGTGCTACATTTACATTCACATCAGTAAATGGTTAGACTTTCGCTTCTTCTCAGATAAGGGCGTTAAAATCGTAGGTATCTCGGATCTGAATGACTTAGATTATTGCACTTCACTTGGTGGAATTAATATTAGAATGTTAGGGTTTGTAATCCAAGTGAGAATATATACATTTTAAGACCTAACCAGGAACGACTGCGAAAAATGCAGCGCTAGGTCCTCTGGTAAGAATTGAACCTACGGCCCTGCGATTCCGGTGCAGCGCTCTAACCAACTGAGCTACAGAGGTCAGCTGTTGAGCTGTAACCGTAAGTTCATTCATCTAAGTCATTCAAGTCCACCTTATCACAACCCGCACACCCGATTACCTATAAATACATGAACTTACGGTTACAGCTCAACAGCTGGCCTCTGTAGCTCAGTTGGTTAGAGCGCTGCACCGGAATCGCAGGGCCGTAGGTTCAATTCCTACCAGAGGACCTTGTGCTGCATTTTTCGCAGTCGTTCCTAGTTAGGTCTTAAAATGTATATATTCTCACTTGGATTACAAACCCTAACATCCTGGTATCTCGGATCCCCTATCAATTAGGCAATAGCCATGTTGGGAAGTCCACTCTCAAACGACATACCTTTAGCAAAAATAACAATGACGTCAAGGAATTCTCGGAATGACAGATATCCATTACGATCTTTATCAACCAAGTCAAACATTTGTTCCACGAAAAGCGAGTTAGGTTTCAGAGAAAGTGCTTCGGCAAATTCAGTTCTGGAAAGTTCACATGAGAGGACCTCCTTGGCCTCGCCCATTCTCTCATTGAAATCTTGATCTTGGTATTCGATGTCGAATGCCTTGAGGAAAGATATTAGAAATTAGCATATGGACAACCGCCGGATATAAGCTTTTCTGCAATCTGATTGGCTCTCTATTAGAAGGATACGAGAAAACAGCAAGTTGTTCGCCTTTAATAGCATTAAGAGGGATAAAAACACAATAAAAATACTCTCAGCAATTGCTTACAGGTTAGCAAATACATTTTTAATATTTAAAAGGATATAGCAACATAAATTAAGTTTGTCTTATTTGAAAGATTGTTTATTAAAATCTTTTGTGAAATTAACTTTGAAACAAATGATAGCGATGTTAATGATGCAAGAAGCATTGAAACGTCGTTGTAATAAAATAAAATTAATATCGCTATCATTTGTTTCAAAGTTATTTGAAAGAACATTTAAAATTATATATAAACTTTCTTTACAATAATTCCGTATCTTGGAAGATAAAAACATGAACAGAATCAGTGGCGTAGCCAGAACGATAATTGGGGGGGGGGGGGGGGATCCGTGTTCACATACCATAAAAACAATTGATTTCAAAAGAAATTAATAAAGCAGAACACGAATATATGAATATGCCCCCCCCCCCAATTATCGTTCTGGCTTCGCCACTGAACAGAATATAATGTTTGGAAGAAAATTAACAGAACTAAAAACAAGGACAATTTATATATAAAAATTTCGAGTTTTCAGCAACATTTGAAGTATTATTTAAAGAAAAAGCAGTTTATTAGTTTAGCAATCCGCACAACTTGCCCTAAACCTGACTGTCAAAATATTGCCAAACAGATGAGTCTGTGAATCCAGTAGTTGTCTACCGGATATCCTTTGACTTCCGAACCAAAACGAAAGTCTTCCCGTTTTGTACCAGTTCCAGACGATCAGATTTTTAAACACGTACAGTACTACATAAAACATTTGATTTGGCCCGCGAGGCTCGCGCAGTTTACTTACATGAGCAAAAGCAACTCGGAAGAATTTCTCCAGTCTTTTTTGTCGATCTTCTTTCGTATGCGCTGAGGATATCAACATTTGGGTTTTCATTTCGTTTCTGTTGCATTTGATCTCGTGGTTGCCCAAGAAACTTTCATAACTTTGCAAAAACTCGTCTCTTTGCGTTTCCGAATCAAACCTCAGAATCTAAGAAAGACGAAGGGAATGCACTTTAAGGAAACGCGAGTAATGGCTTTTCCATAACTACCTCGGCACTTAAAGAGTATGGGCAATGAAATTCAAGTCTGTTTATACAGAAAGAACTCGTTAACTTGTAAAATTACTCATTCCATAACTACTCTTTATCTTTAAATATGTTCGAAGCGAAACCAGGAGTATTCATAATCAGTTTGTAGACGTTCTCTGGTTTTAAATATTTATTTGTTAACGAGATTTCGACTGCCAGTCTGCAGTCCTCAACGGGTGGATTACAATGAGAGTGTGACTGACAACAATGCAAAACATTTACCGGAACAGTAACGCTTTTTACTTAGCAAAAAACTTTGAAATTATCTACATGTAATTTAAGTCATTAATCCTGTATGTAGGCGCAACTGTCATTTTTGTAACTATATATGTAACAGTAAATCGTTGTAATTGTCACACTCTCATTGTAATCCACCCGTTGAAGACTGCAGACTGGCAGCTAATCGAAACCTCGTAATAAATAAATAAATAAATATTTAAAACCAGAGAACGTCTGCAAAGTTATTACTATTTATCCTCGTTCGTTCTTGAGATATTTCAAGTTGTTCTACAATGAAACAAATCTATGACGTCACAAGCAAAATATTTTCAAATATGGCCGTCACGCCAAAGTCATAAAGCACATTGTTCAAAATAGATGAAATCGTTTAAGTCTGTATCGATGATTCCATTGACTAATCTGGCGTATAAAAATATGAAGTTTTTACAGTTCTGTGAACTGTCAAAAAGTTTACCCAGCTTGTGAAGTCATAAAACACAGGCAATAGACACTCCAAAAATTGTAAACATTTTAATTCTTCACGTTTCGACTATAATTTAAGTCATCTTCAGAAGAAAGAAGAGGACTTAAATTATAGTCGAAACGTAAAGAATTAAAATGTTTACAATTTTTGGAGTGTCTATTGTTTTGTGTTTTATTAAAATACTCTATGGCAACCGCAATTTTTGTGAAGTTATCTTATTTACATATGAAATAAACTGAAATATCTTTTAAGTTTTAACAAAAAAAAGGTATAAAAGTTTTGTAAGTTGACTTATTCTGAAGGGGAAAATTCACTAATGGTGCAAGAGTGTTGTAGAAAATGAAGGTCGCATACCATATCGTATTCTCTGTCCATTCTAACAGAAAGCAGAGTCTGTTCTCGGTCACTCTGTAAGAAGATTATGATCCATTCCATTCCTCTCAGATCTATTGTCCTCAGTAGCTGGCCTCGTTCTGATGATACCCGAACGATCTTTCCTGGACCCAGCTTCACTTTCACTGTTCTGTCCGGGAGATTACGTCTCCACTCGGCAGCTGCGAATGAAGAATGTGGAAACTCAATATAGAAACATCATTATGTCGATTGCCTCACAAGTCAACTATGTAGAAACACGGACAACTGCACACGCAAAAACGCATAAGTTGTTACAGGTCTGCAAACAAGTTGTTACAAATCTGTTCACAAGCTGTTGACAAGTTGTGTTCGCACTGCTTGTTCCCAGTTGTTGTAGAAAGTTTGGAACAGCTGTTAACAACTTGTAACAAGCTTGATGGCATTATCAGACTTGTTACAAGGTTGTTCTAACAAGTCTGATACAGTCATGATATAACACGAAAGTTACAAGGTTGATGACACAAAGTTGTAACAAAATTGTTATATCATGACTGTATCGGACTTGTTGGTACAACCTTGCAACAAATCTGATAATATCAAGGTTGTTACAAGTTGTTAACAGCTTGTTCCAAACTTGTTGACAACTTGGGACAAGCAGTGCGAAGACAACTTATTGACGGCTTGTCGGCAGACTTGCTATACAAGATGCGATATTTGTACGCCTTTCAAGTTCACCTGATCATAACCAGCACACCCGAAAATCTATATATACATGAAAATCTATAGTTACAGCTCGACAACTGGCTTCTGTAGCTCAGTTGGTTAGAGCTCGACAACTGACCCTCTGTAGCTCAGTTGGTTTGAGCTCGACAACTGTCTCTCTGTAGCTCAGTTGGTTAGAGCTCGACAACTGTCTCTCTGTAGCTCAGTTGGTTAGAGCTCGACAACTGGCCTCTGTAACTCAGTTGGTTAGAGCTCGACAACTGTCTCTCTGTAGCTCAGTTGGTTAGAGCTCGACAACTGGCCTCTGTAACTCAGTTGGTTAGAGCTCGACAACTGTCTCTCTGTAGCTCAGTTGGTTAGAGCACGACAACTCATGTCTCTCTGTAGCTCAGTTGGCTAGAGCTCGACAACTGGCCCCCTGTAGCTCAGTTGGTTAGAGCTCGACAACTGTCTCTCTGTAGCTCAGTTGGTTAGATCCCTGCACCGGAATCGCAAAGCCACAGGATCGATTCCTGCCAGAGGACCTAGTGTTGTATTTTTCGCAACCGTTCCTGGTCAGCTCTTAAATTGTGTGGACTGTATTCTTTCTAATTCGTAAGTAATTTCTTACCGATAAATTCGTTTTCTGCGGGTTTGCTGTTTCGTTGAGTTTTTCGGCGATTCGTTTTTCGTTTCTCAGCTAACATTGCCATACGGCGCCTGGCCAGGAACAACATCGTCAATACCACGCCTGCAAAAAAAAAGGTCAATGAAATCTTTTTGAGTTTCCCGTCATTAATTAGCCATGTCTTCTCGGCCAGTTGAATAACGAATGAGCGAGGTATTAACTTATTAAAGTTACTGTAGCGTATAAAGTTATGTGTTGTTGGTTTTTCACTAAGAAATATTGTGCAGCAGCAGATGTTGGTCAACCTGCAGTTATCAAAGTGAGAAAATAATATGAATTCCTTTCATTATATGGAGTAGTCTTGTGTTTGGAGGCAAATAAATGGAATCGGAACTCGATCGAGCCGTTATAGATAACGAATGATGGCATGAAACTTCACGGCTGCTGTTTTTCATTTCGAACAAGAACTGCAGTCGCCATGGTCCATAGCCAGTGCGGTTATGAGAAGTATTCACCCACTGGATATCCGCCATTTTGCATATTTTCAGGGGAATGAATGTCTCTCATAAGAACATAAGCGCAGTGGCTAGAACCATGGCGATAGCGTTGAACGGTTACGCCAAAATCATAGACAAACCAAGAGGTCGACCTTCTGTAATGTTCGTATTCTGTGCTTAATCTCTCTATATTTTCAATCAGCTATCAATCAATGCGAGAGAAAACCCTTTTCTTTCTTTCGAAAGAAAATCGCTACTCACATTGTTTGATAGCTAATCGAAAATATTGATGTTAATATACCTGTAAATAGATTATTACTTCAGTTAATTTTGTTAGTTCATACAATACTATATATCTTATATAATTTTGTAAATAGTCTTCAAAAACTCATTAATAATTCATGAAGCAATTATCCAATCTTGAGTAAGAAATTAGTCACGTGCATACGTCTTTATACCAGCTAAAGAACACTTTAACAAAAGACCATGGTTATGCAAACTATATTATGTACTATTACGCTCCTTCACCTCGGTGTTGTTGAGCACTCTGCGGAGTTGTAATGGGTGTCTATTAGCGATAATGTAAAGCTCACTTCCCTTGTGGTCGTTTGAGCACTCTGGCCCCATTACGCTCTGCGCATGTCTGGGTGCGTTGAGTCACCGTGTTGTACCACATGCCTTGGTGAGAGCAAGTTCATGGGATATAAATACGAGTGTCGAAAGTATCTAGACGTGTACCAAGCTGCACTGACGAGGCGTAGAACGCCGAAACATGCATGTCTGCAGATTGTACTAAAGATTTTTATATAAAGATTTTTATATAACGATTTGACTTATTATGCAAACGTTTTTGAAGCTATTTAAAAAACTCGCAGGTCGTGTTTTATTAGGTCTAAAGCCACTCGCGCTCCGCGCTCGTGGCTTTAAACCTAATAAAACACTCCTGCTCGTTTTTTAAATAGTGCTTTAAAATTATTCTCTGTATACTTTTTCGCACGCCTCTCGTGGAAATCAGCTTCGGTTGACGGGTGTTTAAATAAAGTTTTCTGTCTATCTCTAATAGAAGAGAACGATACAGGTTTCATTTTCCTGCTGCTACGAGTCTCGACCATAGATATCTTATATACCGTACACTAGATAGTGCATCTCTTTTAGTAAAATTGAAGCCAAGAATATTCCAGCGGTTACCCCCATTTGAATAGATGGCGGCCATGTTGGAGTTTCCCACTCGCTAATAAACGCTTAAAAAACAACAATAACTTTCATCATTTGAATAGTTTGAAAATGTATTCGGAATAGGTTTAACTTAACGTTTAAGTTCCCTGTTTAAGAAATAGAAAACATACGAGTCTTCTCATTTCATGGGAATATCCCTGAGTCTGCAATCACGGCTTCAATTTTTGAATTGCAGAATAATTAGATGCACTATCTAGTGTATATAAGATATCTATGGTGTCAACATTTCTGGACTTGACCTGCTATACTGTAACACTCGCTGTCTAATCCAATTTTTATTACTTGTTATGTACATATTATTAGGTTATTTAGTCACTGTACATCGTATATAATTCAGTTGTTTTATTGTAACTGCAAATTACGATTATTAAAATCAATCAATCAATCAATCAATCAATCAAAACTCACTAATACTCACCAACACAGAACAATCCAATGAACAGAAAGGTTAAAGCGAAAGACACTTCACTGCCATCAAAATAATCAAATGTCTTTGGATCAGTGCAATCCTCAACATCGCCTGGTTCGAGTCTTCCTAATTTACATGGAACATCATCGCCCGTTGCTGTAATGAATCAAACACAAGGTTCAATTTTAAACAGATTCCGCGCATGTCGAACTCCAGCTTGAACCCTTCATAAAAATGCTGTGCTGAGTGGTTATATTACTACCTTAAAAAATAAGCAGAAACTCGACGTTTCGAGCGAAGGCCCTTCGTCAAGAGTTAGTAGCCAAACTAACCGGCTACTAACTCTTGACGAATGGCCTCCGCTCGAAACGTCGAGTTTCTGCTTATTTTTTAAGGTAGTAATATAACCACTCAGCACAGCATTTTCACATTGGTACTACCAACACTGGTACAGACAGTTTTAGTATATGAACCCTTCATAGTGTTTAGAAACTGAAATCATGCCCTACTTGGTAAAAAATTAGAGAGTTGTGAATCATTTTCATATATGATCACGAAGCACACAGCTAAGAAGGGTTAGTTTTTGTTGAGGGATGAAAGCACTTCGCCAAATATTAAGGGGAGGGGGTGAACAGATTCGCGTCAAGAGAGGGGTAATTTTTTTATCTTGCGAGTAAGCGAGCAATATGGATCCAAAACTTCGTTTCTGGTTGCTGTCCGAAATTTAGAAATGATTAAAAACAATTTTGGATTGTTACTCGGTCATTTTAGAGTTGTTTTATATGGTTACTCCAACTCCTGACGTCATCAAAACCATATTTAATGAGGTCAGGAATTAGTCCAAGATGGCGTACAGCTCATTAATTTCGGTCTAAATATTTCGAGAACTCAGCAAGATAGACAAATCGGTAACAGAGTTTAATATATAATTTTGAGAGTTCTTTTGAAAGAGACAAACTAACTTTTTATTGCCAATGTCCTTCAAGGAACAGCTCACTTTTTTCAGTGGAAATATTTTGAAAACTATGCAAGATATAAACAATCTGTAATAGAGTTTAATATATAGTTTTAAGAGTTCACTTTCAAATTAACTAAACTAATTTTTTATTGCCAATGTCCTTTAAGTTCCAAGCAATATCATGGTTACAAAATAGACAGTTATTGAGATAACATTCGAATTCAAAGGCTTTCAAAACCCTCGATCTCGGATCCTACCATGGAGCTAGAGGTCTTCAGGGGACACCAATCTCATATTTCAAAATGAGGATCTTCCGACATTTATAAGAGAATTATGTCAACTACTTACTGAAAAAGGGATCTTTCTGAATGTCGTCTGCCTCAATATTTGTCGTCATAAGAATGACATCATATAGAGTGATGTTATTAATTTGGTCAATTTCATCTTGAGTGAAAAGACTGTAATAAAAATGGTTCAGTTTGAGTTTAGAGATCCAATAAGGGTAATTTTTGTTAAGCTTACCGGGTGGCGCAAAAAAATGTTCCCCCTCTTTGACCTATTGTAATTAAAAAAACCAAAGCAGCCACCTTATTCAAAGAATGTTTATTGAAGGCAGCAATGTCTAACTTAAATTTTGATGTATGCCTTAAACATTTCTATAAAATATTAGCCGAGATATAGGCGTTTAAACTCAAGGTAGCATTTCTGGAAGAAGCGAAAAATGGCCATTTAATTACCACAATGCAAATTAATAGACTATTTTTCGCTTCTTCCAAAAACGCTACCTTGAGTTTAAACGTCTATATCTCGGCGAATACTTTATAGAAATGTGCAAGGCATACAACAAAATTTAAGTTAAATATAACTACGTTCAATACACTTCATTTGAATAAGATAGCTTCTTTAGTTTTTTTAATTACCATAAGTCAAAGTGGAACATTTTTTGCGCCACCCGATATACTCGGGGAAAGGATAGTGCTTTGATTGGCTATTGGTTGCTCAGCTCCAGATATTGTTGCAAATGGCTTCCCGTTTTGATCTGGTTGCAGACGAGCAATTTGTTTCACTAAACGAAGCTGCCGTTTCGCCGAACACGAAGAAAGCCACAAAGTTTTGCTTAACAGTGTGCAGAGGTATTCTCGAAAGCTACTTCTAATGAATAAAATTACTAAAAGCGTGTAAATACTGTTTTGTTTACAACGATCAAGGGAGCTGAAATACAAATTATTTCGTTGTTTAAAAATATTTTCGTTGTTTTTTGACAATTATTCACATCAGTGTCGGTAAATAGTGCAACTCTTATTGATCCAGTGCAGTTACAACAGAAGGAAACCTAAACTAAACTAACTGGATAGCTCTATCAGTTCTAAACTGTTCTCCCTAGAGGTCCAGTAAAAGTCATCTCTTATTGATCCAGTGTTACTGCAGGAGAAAACCAAAATTAAACTGACTTTATTTATACCATTCTCGTACCCAGAGCCCTTCTTACGCGCGGTGCGACGAGGGGCTCTGGCCAAATCCATATCCGAACTGGTATCTGATTGGCTAGTTCTAACACCGGATATTGTTTTCTTACCATGTTTTTATGGTATCCGGTTATGGATTTGGCCAGAGCCCCTCGTCGCGCTCGGTCGAACGCGCGTAAGAAGGGCTCTGGGTACGAGAATGTATTTATACTTGATAGCTCTAGCAGTTCTAAACTGTTCTCCCCAGAAGACCAGTGTCCTCATCTCTTACTGATCAAGTATTACTACACGAGGAAACATAAACTAAACTAACTTTACTGCATTTATACTGGATAGCTCTATCAGTTCTATACTGTTTTCCCTAGAGATCCATGTCCTCATCTCTTACTGATCAAGTGTTACTGCGGGAAGAAACATAAACTAACTTTATTTATACTGGATAGCTCTATCATTTCTAAATTCTTCTCCCTATATAGAGATCCAGCAAGGGTAATCTGTTATTGATCCAGTGTTATTACAGGAGGAAACCTGAAACGTTCATACTTGATACGCTATCAGTAATTTGTGAATCATTGTTACGTACTTATTTTCTATATTCTCAAACCAAAACCTATCCCCATCTCTGATTCTTCTGAACTGATCTTCAATGATGGTCGAGAACAACTCGCCGGGTCCAGATTTTCTCGTCTCCAAGAGCCCTCCAACCCACACATCAATACTGTTGATGTCTCCTTTATAAAGATCGTCCAATGTCTGATATACCTGGAAAAAGAAACAGTGCAAAACCATAAGGACAGTAATTCTTATTAAGGTTACAGGACACCCTTTTTGGCGTTTTGCGGAAAATCGCTACTGCGCGCTCAATATCAGTCCGATTTTCATCAAATTTTCACCAAATGTTCGCCAGTGCGTTCAAAATATGGTAAAGTTGTAAAATTAACAAACAATAAAATAATGTAAGAATTATTCAGGAAAATCTTAAATCGCGGTACCGCTACGCTTTTGAGTTGTGCTCCTGCTGGTTTTAAGATATATTTATGAAAATATCATTTTTTAATTTGAATATTACATTTTCAATGTTTTTTTTTTATTGCGGCGAAATGTATTTTATTAAATAACTCTGCGATTTCTCAACATTTTTCTTTCAAACTTGGTCAGATAGTAGAACTAGTCTAATGCTTTCATGGAAACCAATAAGAAAAATTTTAGGCAACATTAACACTCAAAGGTGTTCTGTAACCTTAAAGTGCCTATATCATTGTTTTGGAGTTTGCATATCTCGAAAGTTTAGGGTATTTTAAGACACTTTGCAATATATTTTGTTATTGAAAAATTTCATCTTGATGGATTTATTAGCTCTTAAAGTTACCGGACATGACGTCAAAAGGAGAATTGCAAATCAGTTTTCCTTTGTATCATTGCAACAAAATTCTCCTTTTGACGTCATGTCACTTCAAGAGCTAATAAATCCATCAAGATGAAATTTTTCAATAACAAAATATATTGCAAAGTGTCTTAAAACACCCTAAACTTTCAAGATATGCAAACTCCAAAACCTTGATACAGGCACTTCAAGAAAACAAAGAAAATCATGACACTGATAGAGCATCTACAAATCCCTATAAATCTATCATTAGGATGTTAGGGTTTGTAATCCAAGTGAGAATATATACATTTTAAGACCTAACCAGGAACGACTGCGAAAAATGCAGCACAAGGTCCTGTGGACTACCAGAGGACATTGTGCTGCATTTTTCGCAGTCGTTCCTGGTTAGGTCTTAAAATGTATATATTCTCACTTGGATTACAAACCCTAACATCCTAATATTAATTCCACCAAGTGAAGTGCAAGAATCTAAGTCATTCAAGTCCACCTATAAATCTATCCTCCTCCCTAGCACGTACCGAGTTGGGAATATAAGATTGGTTGGCTTTAATGTCGATAAAGTTTTCTTTAGCTGCTAGTCCGTAAGCCTTTCTCGCCGTATTGTAGTCAGGCAAGCCATGATCCCGACCTCGCTGAATGTTAACAGCCATCAGATCACGACGAGAGAAATCCAAACCACCAAATACGAAACCTTACGCAAGGAAAAGAGAGAAATAACATTGGTTTAGACCTTACATTGGATACATATGTATGTCCTCCAGTTTGACTCTTTTTAACATAGTGAAAATTTTAATCCTTCGTTTTAAATTTTTATAGAGATTTTCTATTAATAGTATTGTATATTTTTATACAAATTTTTGCAGATGTAAAGCCACACTGTGGAAAAGCTGTAATAAACACAGGTTTTTTCCGGGTACATTCGTTTCCTCGTGTAGTAACACTGGATCAATAAGAGACGATCCTTACTGAACCTCTAGGAAGAACAGTTTAGAACTGATAGAGCTATCCAGTATAAATAAAGTTAATTTAATTGAGGTTTCCTCCTGTAGTAACACTGGATCAACAACAGATGATCCTTACTGGACATCTAGCAAGAACAGTTTAGAACTGATAGAGCTATATCCAGTATAAATAAAGTTAGTTTAGTTGAGGTTTCCTCCTGTAGTAACACTGGATCAATAAGCGATGATCCTTACTGGACCTCTAAGGAGAACAGTTTAGAACTGATAGAGCTATCAAGTATAAATAAAGTTAGAGTATGTGATATTTCGGAACTGAGTCTAGTTCCTTCGATATCGATGTAATCTAGTAATCATTAATTTTTTCTGTGTTTTATGCCTGGCCACGGTGGGAATCGAACCTACGACCTTTGGAATACCACCCCAATGCTCTGCCAACTGAGCTACGTGGTCAGGTCGGTTCGAGTATGTGATATTTCGGAACTGAGTCTAGTTCCTTCGATATCGATGTAATCTAGTAATCATGATTTTTTACATCGATATCGAAGGAACTAGACTCAGTTCCGAAATATCACATACTCGAACCGACCTGACCGCGTAGCTCAGTTGGCAGAGCATTGGCCTGGTAGTCCAAAGGTCGTAGGTTCGATTCCCACCGTGGCCAGGCATATTTGTCCGGTGTGGATATACACTGAGAGTAAAATCACAAGCATCATAAATAAAGTTAGTTTAGTTTAGGTTTCTTTCTGTAGTAACACTGGATCAATAAGAGATGATCCTTACTGGACCTCTAGAGAGAACAGCTTAGAACTGATAGAGCCATCCAGTATACTGTAAATAAAGTTAGTTTGGTTTAGGTTTCCTCTTGTACAAAAACTGGATCAATAAGCGATAATCGACAATACGCGACAGTTTAGAACTGATAAAGCTATCCAGCATAAATAAAGTTAGTATAGTTTCGGTTTCTTTCTGTAGTAACACTGGATCAATAAAATATGACCCTTACTGGACCACTAGGAAAAACGTTTAGAACTGATAGAGCTATCCAGTATAAAGAAAGTTAGTTTAGTTTAGGTTTCCTCCTGTAGTAACATTGGATCAATAACGGTTGAGTGTTTTAAATTGAAATTGAAGCATTTAAACTATATGATATATAAACTATATGATAATTAACTGAAGCATTTAAACTATATGATATATGATATATATTTAAACTATATGTGAGTGAACGGAGTGACCGCATCAGATAGAAACATGCAATAGATGCGTTACCTCGTAAATCTTCTGTGATAATATTATCTTCTCTTTCAGCATCTTGTGAAGCCATCCCACGGAGGAATGCCTCAATATCTAAAGTCTCGGTACCGTTCTTTTCTGTGATAGGAATCTAAAAAAAAACCCAACAAAATGACGAGATGTTAGGATTTCAACGTCTGACGTGGTTTGTATTTGAACTGCCCGAAAGAGATTAAAAACACTCGGATATATTCGGAGTGAAGGCCCTGGGTTTAGCTTTTTCGGGTAGTTCAGACACAAACCACGACAGCTTATTGTAGAATACTACCTACACTGGAAAAACACTTTCGAGTTGAAAGAAGGATGCTTTTACCTGAGGGTTCCAGAATGAATTACATGTTCTTACACCTCTCTTGTTCGCAGCCTTTTCTCCCAGCGTACTGGACGACGCTCTTGTTTTGAATGCCTCACATGTCTTATTCAATCTAAAAACATTCACAAGTTAAGGTTACAGAACACCTTTGAGTGTTAATTTTGCCTAAATTTTTTTTATTGGTTTCCATGAAAGCATTAGAGCTTAAAGCACTCGTCCTTCGGACTAGTGCTATTTTGAGGTCTTTGAAAAACTCACTCGTGCATGTTATATCCAAATAACAAATTGCACTCGAAATCATGCTATTACCTATACTTATATATCAGCAAGTTTTATATAATACCTTATTGAATTCTGATCGTTTAATTGGCTGTTTATGGTCACGTGATATTGGATAGAAAATTCCATTTCCCAAGAGTGCAATGGAATACGTTCCATTGCACTCTTGCGAGTGCAGTTGTACTATACGTTTTATTCCATTGCACTCTTTGTGTTTTCGATAAATCGCATCCGTCAAAATGCTTCTCGTACGGTGATCGCAGTTTATTTTAACCCGATATTCGAAACTCAGTAAATGGGATTTAATGCAAATACGACTCGTCAAAATGTTTTTGTTCGTGCAATGGTAAGAATATTTTCATTCGGTGAAAGATGGAAAGTTCCATTCAACTCGGCTGTCGCCTCGTTGAATGGAACATTCCATCTTTCACCTCATGAAAATATTCTTACCATTGCACGAATAAACAGTCATTACCTCCGCCAGGAGGTTATGTAATCATCTGGGTTTGTATGTGTGTGTGTATGTGTGTATGTGTGTGTGTATGTGTGTGTGTGTGTGTATGTGTGTGTGTATGTGTGTGTGTGTATGTGTGTGTGTTTGTCTGTGAGCACGATAACTCAAGAAATACCAGACATATCCGTACGAAATTTTGTGAGTGCATTTCCCATCGGCTAAGGAAGAACTGATTAAAATTTGGTTGAATTTGGTTAAAAATTGAATGAGAAATAACAAAAGTTTGTCTTGCTTTTCCCGGTCAATTAAATAAAACTTTATACTGAATGCGTAATTAGGACGTGCATAATATATGCACCAGCCATTCAAATTCTAATAACAATAGATTACTTCAATATTTTGCGCGTAGGCGGAGGTATGCAGTCTCTGAGTGCCCTCTAGTTATTTGTATATTGTCTGCTGTGTAAAGAACGCGTCATTTGGATCGAGTAGCTGGCTTATTTCTACTCGCTAGTTCTCAGTACCTTCTCATAACACCAGGAGTGACCATCGTGTGACCAAATCTCATAGCCGCTGACTGAAATACATGGGCGATACCTGGATGGACAGCAGGAATGTAACCTAAAAAACGAAAGCATTTAAATGACTACACGAGTCGCTTCCTACCTAAACGAACAGGATTTCTGGTTGACTAAACAATAGAAATGATCTTTTTAAGGAATGAGTCAAAAACACCGATCATTGTTGTTTCAGAAAACCAACCAAGAAACATGCTTATACTCGTTATAATCTACTGAAATTTTGAAGAATTTGTAAGAAATGTTTGAGGAAACTAACTTATTGTTTATGCTAAGTTTTGATTTGTAAGAAATGTTTGAGGGACCCGGCTTAGTGTTTAACACCGAGGCTGTTCCCTCAAACATTTCTTACAAATCCTTCAAAACTTAGAATTTACCGATGCAAAATTCCTACTGTGATCACAGAAACTTTGATAGTATAAACCAAGCTTAAGACTATTACATAATGCAGGGCTGCAAATTACTGTCGGACATCGGACAATGTCCGGACTAAATTTGGCAAATGCCCGAGCAAAAGTAATTTTGATCGGACATTGGTCACAAAAAAAAATTGTCACATTATACATTTTTTGCTGTGACAAAATCCGATTGCAAATTCACTCAATTTGCAGTTTGCAATGAAATTTACGAGGCATTCTAGCATTTTACTTAACGTTGCGCCGGAATGGTCATACATACTTGTCTCGTGACTTATGTATATATATATATATATATATATATATATATATATATATATATGTATATATATATATATATATATATATATATATATATATATATATATATATATATATATATATATATATATATATATATATATATACTATTTAAAACACGAGTAGGAGTGTTTTATCAGATATATAACGCGAGGCGCAGCCGAGCGTTATATATCTGATAAAACACGACAACGAATGTTTTGAATAGCTTAAAATACGAATACAAAATAATACTAATTAGGATGAACATTATATAATCATACTAATGAGGATGAACCATTATATAATGCCTCATGCTCTATCAGATATAAAGTCATTCCACGTGACATATTATGGCTGATATGATTTGCCAAAAGGTTTATGAATTATTAATGAGTATTTTAAATATATATATATATATATATATATATATATATATATATATATATATATATATATATATATATATATATATATATATATATATATATATATATATATATATATATATATATATATATATCTTGTGACGTATATAGTGGTGTTGGTTTTTGTCCAACCAAATTCAACGACAGAAAATTTTCCGAAAATATTGTTGTTGAAAGTTGAAATTTGTGTCGGCCAATCAAATTCTCTTTATGCGAGACATTTTCACGAGTGGAAATGGGCCTGAATATTTATGATGACTTACGGTAACTATCATTGGCTCTAAAAGCATCGGGATCTAATCCAAGAAATCTTGGCAACCAATCGTAAAACACAATTTTCTATAAAATAAAAGATCAGGATTAGCTTAAAGGCCATGTAAGTCCATAATGTAAACAACCGCTTTGTTTACATTTTGAACTCAGTGCTACAGTTGTAAAATATGATTAGATATATATTATACTGAATTTTGAACACTCTTCTGGTTCGCTTGTAAATGAATACAGACTAGAGATTCAATTCAAAAAAGTTCGGAAGGTGCGAAATATTAATAACATTCCAATGGTCGTGTCCCGACCATTGGAATGCAGGCATGCGCAGAATGGACTTTACATGGTCTTTAAGGTAGGATTAAGCAACACCGCGGAAAAACGTCTGCGCAAGCACCAAATTATGAAAATATGGCGGGGAATTTGAATATCAATTTCTAAAACAAAAACATGCTTATTAATTGGTCAAAAATGAGTAAAACAAACGAGAAAATATAGCAAATGGGTAGACTAGACATTAATTGAAAGCGTCCTGGCATTTAAAGTATGGAATGAAATATAATTCATGTAAAAAACTGTTGATTTTAACGGACACGACTTCGAAAATTTTTGCAAAATTATTCAAAACAAAAATTCAAACTAAAAAGTTAAGAAAACTCTCGAAAAGTTAAGCTTCTTAACCCACTCAAATTGTAGAATACATCCTAAAGTTTAATTATTGTGAACACGAAAATTTTTTATATTTGGCGACACAGTTTTTTTTAAAGAAATGTATCTCAAACGAAAATTCGGAAATTGTCGTTGCTTAGTTGATAAACAAAATGTTTCAGACGATAAATTTGTCAACAATCACCTTTAGTTCATGTTCTTTTACAATACAATTTCTTGAACCTTCTGGCTGTATTTATTCCTAGTTTTTAGAATGACATGTTTATTTTTGCGCTCGAAATCTGGCTGTAAAGACGCACAATGAATTCACTCCTTTTTACCGCCATTCGGAAACGTTCGGAACAGCTTCTCATCAAGTTCGTAATACTATTACAGGTAAGGTTGACGCATGCGCAGACGTTTTTCCGCGGTGTTGGATTAAGGTTATAAAATAGCCTCCTAACTAAGGCCTTGCAAGAAATCGAGCTACATATGGCCAACAAATAAATATGTGGGTTTCCTATTTCTTCTTATAAACACTCAGGTAGGGTAGGTCGGTTTTAACTTCTTCTTTTTAAACTTATTTTTAATTTTCCTAACAACCGGACGCCACTTTGTTTAGTCAGTGCTTCCACATCCAAAGATAAATTTCCCTAATATTGCCTCAAATTTCAATTTTCCACAAACGTTTTCCTCAAGTGGAAACACTTCCAAGCATGATGCAACAAAAAAGTTTAGGGTCGGGATTTCGACGTCCAAAAGCTGTAGGTAGGGTCGGGAAACCGGAAACCCACATATTTTTTTTTGGCCTAGATACCTGATGTGTAGCGATGACCCATTTCCTTGCTTCATTGAATAATTTTTCATCATCAGTTTCATTTGTGTGCAGCTTCAGTCTCTCCGCAATTACGTTGTGGTAACGGAACCACATGATTCCGAAGGTTAACAAAAATGGATTTTCGTTGCCACGAGGGTTTCCCAGCTCTAGAAAGATAAACAGTTAACATGGACTGGATGTAGCATCCTATTGAATAGACCTTTCCCCTTTCAAGTGAGATTTTGATCTAGACAAGTCTGGACAAAAATTCCATCACAGCTTGAAAGAGCATCGCAAAATTAGTAATATTCCGAAATTTCGTTGCGAAATGTTGTAAAATGCGAATAATATAGCCTTGCGAAGTTTGCCGTTTTTCAGTCATTTTTATTACAAATGGGAAATTGATAATCAGATGATCAAACTGATTATCAATTTCCCGTTTGAAAAACGGCAAACTTCGCAAGGCTATATTGTCCACATTTTACAACATTTCGCAACGAAACTTTGGAATATTACTAATTTTGTGATGCTCTTTCAAGCTGTGATGAAATTGTTGTCCAGGCTAGTGCAGATCAAAATTTCACTTAAAAGGGGAAAGGTCTATTCAGCAACCCAATTTTGAAGGCAAAATATTTTAATGAAATGAGATTTATAAACCATTCAAATTCATGACCAGTCTTCCTCTTGTAGTAACACTGGGTCAATAAGAGATGATCCTTACTGGACCTCTAGGAAGAACAGTTTAGAAAGCAAGTAAATCGGGGGCTAATCATCTTAAAGTGCATATGACATGAAATTTCTTATTTTCTTAAATGAAAGAACTCTTTAAGCTGTAGTGTAACTTGATCCCGAGATATTTCAATTTATTCCCGAGATATTTCAATTTGTTTGATATGTAAATGAGTGTGAATATGTCCGCTAATTTATGACGTCATGATGGTTGCAAGCTCTTCAAAATGGTTGAATATCACTGCTATCATCCAAGATGATAATTTCAAACTTCCCTCACTGGTAAATGTGATGAAACACTGCAGGCATTAAAATACGGAATTTTTACAAGGACACACTTTGCCTTCAAAGGCGTGTTTTTGGTATAAATGCGCAGACTCACGAGAACGAGTGCCGAAGCCACAAGTTTAACGTTGAAAACGCGAGCTTTTAAGGGGGTCTCTGAAATGGCATTTCCAGAGTTCTGAGAAATCTTTGGCAATTTTGCGTGGATTACATTAATATATTTTCAGTTTAATATATTTTCAAGTACACACTTTTCATTTTACAAGGGCACATTCGCCTTTTACAAGGACACAAAGTGTGTACAAGGACACGCTATTTTAATGCCTGAAACACTGTAGAAAAACGTGAACAGCTTTCTACGGTTTTTAGAGTTAATAGATTTATAACCAGTGTAAGTTGAGCTTGCAACCAACGTGACGTCATAAATTAGCGGACATATTCACACTCATTTACATATCAAACAAATTGAAATATCTCGGGAACAAACCATAAAAACAAGAAACTGAAAAATAAGTTGCACTACAACTTAAAGAGTTCTTTCATTTAAGAAAATAAGAAATTTCATGTCATATACACTTTAACTTCCAGTTGAGAGATAAGAGGAACTACGAAGGACGCAGCTCAAACGTGATCGAGTCAAAGGCTTTCTACGGATGCTGCCTCTTATGACTCATGTCTGATCACCAAGCACTTTTTTTTTAAAGTTCCAGTATTGGCAAAAAACTGAAAATTTTTTGAAAGTTCCGGGGTGCGCAAAAAATGAAAATATTTTGAAAGTTACGGGGTAGGCAAAAAAATGAAAATTTTTTGAAACTTCCGCGGTTGGCAAAAAAATGAAAAATTTTTGAAAGTTGTGGGGTTAGCAAAAAAATGAAACATTTTTTGAACGTTGCGGGGTGGGCAAAAAAATGAAAATTTTTTTGAAAGTTCCGAAGTGGGCAATTACGCAGCAAGAATCTAACCCACGATAAGGTGCTTTCTCCGACGATTGCGCCAACCGAAGCCAATGATACAACAACAAATGCACAATCAAAAACAAGTCTCGTAAAAACTTACTGAAGAATCTTGTGGCATCCATCAACTTATGATTAGCAGGTGGTGGCGGGTTCGCCATTGGTAAGCCAATGTCGTTCTCTTCAGGCCAATTCCCTTTCTTGCTCGTTGCTAGTTTGCCATCTTTAAAACTTCTCAGAGCGTCAGCCCACGCCTTCGCAACACCATACATGAGTCCTCCATCAATCCAGGGAGTGATCTCATTCAGCTACAGTGAGAGAAAGAGTGCATAGAATCATCTATATGAATTTAATGGGTGTTTTATAACCACACCACCATCACCATCATCACCACCATCATCATCACCACCACCATCATCACCACCATCATCATCACCATCATCATCATCATCATCACCACCACCATCACCACCACCATCATCATCACCATCATCATCATCATCATCATCACCACCATCATCACCACCATCATCATCACCACCATCATCATCATCATCATCATCATCATCACCACCACCATCACCACCACCATCATCATCATATCATCATCACCACCATCATCACCACCATCATCATCACCATCATCATCACCACCATCATCACCACCATCATCATCATCATCATCATCACCACCATCATCACCACCATCATCGTCACCACCATCATCATCACCATCATCATCATCATCATCATCACCACCACCATCACCACCACCACCATCATCATCACCATCATCATCATCATCATCATCATCATCATCACCACCATCATCACCACCATCATCATCATCACCATCATCATCATCATCACCACCATCATCACCATCATCATCACCATCATCATCATCATCACCATCATCACCATCATCACCATCACCATCATCACCACCATCACCATCATCATCACCATCATCATCATCATCATCATCACCACCATCATCATCACCACCATCATCGTCACCACCATCATCATCATCACCACCACCATCACCACCACCACCATCATCATCACCATCATCATCATCATCATCATCATCACCACCATCATCACCACCATCATCATCATCACCATCATCATCATCATCACCACCATCATCACCATCATCATCATCATCACCACCATCATCACCATCATCACCATCACCATCATCACCACCACCATCATCACCATCATCATCACCATCATCATCATCACCACCATCATCATCATCATCACCATCATCATCACCACCACCACCAATATCATCACCACCACCAATATCATCACCACCACCAATATCATCACCTTCCCCATCATCATCATCATTATCATCGCCATCATCATCACCAACATCATCACCAACATCATCACCATTACCATCACCATTACCATCACCATCACCATCATCATCATCATGATCATGATCACCATCATCATTATCATCACCATCATCATTATCATCACCATCATCATCATTACGAACATCACCATCATCATCATCATCATCAACACCATCATCATTACCATCACCAACACCAAGATCATCACCATGACTATTCTTGTAGAATAACACCCTATAGTGCCCTACATATTACGAATGAAACAAAACCCACCTGTTGCCTAGGGTTATTAGGCGAGGAGCCGGTGCCCATGTGATACCTAGACCTCAGTAAAGGAATAATCTTCGGATTGCCAGCGACATGATATGTTGTGTAGTCATCAGGAATATCAATATTGAAATATTCTGGTGGACAGCCAGGGCGTTGAGCATCGAGCACTTCTTCCACAACTTGTTGCCCTGAAAATAGATAGATAGAAAAACTTTATTTAAATACGCTGACCCCGTCAACCGAAGTTGATTTCCACAAGGGGCGTGTACAAAAGTGTACATATACAGAATTTTAGAAGCTATTTACAAAATTATACAAGAAATACATAATATTATAACGTAATAAAGGCAGAGTATTAGTGTTTGGAGGTAGGTGCCGTTTGTGGTCCAAGGCCGCAACTAGCCTTGATGGCAAGAAGTATTGCCATAGCAGCTGCGCAGCAACAACAAGAGCAACAATCAGTAATATTAGCGATGAAATAGCCATGACAATTCTGCCAAGGCATACCTCCGGCACCAGTCACACTGACAAGTCAGTGGAAACGAAATACAATGTATAGTGGCCTATACATCCTATTTCCTGTGAGATTAAAAACTATATAAAAAACCCCAACAAAAAAAAACAACGAAACAACCCCCCCCCCAAAAAAAAAATACCGATAGACTACCAGATAAAATCCTCTAGAATACTATGGGTGGGTGGGTGGTGAAAAAGTAACGAGGCGCTAAATTTGCTGCAACTAGGCAAAGCATACAATGGCAGAACGAATACCCAGACCAAAGCAATGATCACAAGACGCTAAACAATCCCCTGGATCGATATGACGTCACGGACTCCCCTCAGCGGATGTAGCCTGCATAAAACATCCGCCGTTAACCTTGCTTAAATATATTTAACCACATTTAACAAGTATAGTAATCTATTTACAGGTACATCTATATCACCATAAGCTATCAATCAATGTGAATAGCGATTTTCTTACGAAAGGAACAAAGGAATTTGCTCTCTCTAATTTCTTTTGGAATAGAATTCCAAAGATATGCTCCGTCATACATAAAACTTTTTTCATATTATTAGTACGCGCGGTTGTGGTAAACAAAGACTACTTGAGATGTTCCGAAGTTTGTCATCTCGTCCTTATATGTGAAGAGATTGGTGAGTACCTTTAGTAGTATACATAACGCAATTAACTAGTATAATAATCTATTTACAGGCACATCTATTGATCTATATTCACATTAGCTATCATTCAAGTGCGATTTTCTTTCGAAAATAACAAAGGAATTTGCTCTCTCTAATTTCTTTTGGAATAGAATTCCAAAGATATGCTCCGTCATACATAAAATGTTTTTCATATTATTATTACGCGGTTGTGGTAAACAAAAACTACTTGAAATGTTCCGAAGTTTGTAATCTCGCCCTTATATGTGAAGAGATTAGTGAGTGACTCGGTCCCATATTCTTCAATAATTTGTACATGATTTTTGCTTTACTTTTTTCCTTTTCACTCGTAAAATTATATTTACTGATTGAGGTAAACTTACTCCGCACATTTTCCCGTATTCTTAACAAAATATCTTATATGACAAACAACTAACACCAAGCTGAAACTGAAACTTACAAAACAGCTCACAATTAGCTTTAAATTTTAGCAAACAACGGACAAATTGCGCTTAGATGCAAAGTGTGCGACCGAGCAAATTTCTTTAAAAGAAACAGATGATCCTTACTGGGCCTCTAGGAAGAACAGTTTAGAAATGATAGAGCTATCCAGTGTAAATAAAGTTAGGCAAAAAAATGTGGTTTCCGGTTTCCCGACCCTACCTAGCTTTTGGACGTCGAAATACCGACCCTAAACTTTTTTATTGCATCATGGTTGTAAGTGTTTCCACTTAGGGAAAACCTTTGTGGAAAATTGAAATTTGAGGCAATATTAGGGAAATCTATTTTTCGATGTGGAAGCACTGATCAAACAAAATGGCGTCCGGTTGTTAAGAAAATTAAAAAAAAAGTTTTAAAAAAAGTTAAAACCGACCTACCCTACCTAAGGTTTTATAAGAAGAAATAGGAAACCCACATATATTTTTTTTGCCCTTAGGTTTCCTCCTGTAGTAACACTAGATCAATAAGAGATGATCCTTACGGACCTCTAGGGAGAAGAGTTTAGAATTGATAGAGCTATCCAGTATAAAGAAAGCTAACTGTAGTGACACTGGGTCAATAAAAGATGACCCTTACTGGACCTCTAGGAAGAACAGTTTAGAACTGATAGAGCTATCCAGTATAATAAAGTCCTCCTATAGTAACACTGGATCAATTAAAGATGATCCTTACAGGACCTGTAGAGAAAACAGTTTAGAATTGAAACGGCTTTCTAGTATAAATAAAGTCAGTTTAGTTCAGGTTTCTTTATATAATAACACTGGATCAATAAGAGATCATCCTTACTGAACCTCTAGGAAACAATTGAAAACTGATAAAGCTATTCAGTAAAAATAAAGTACGAATCTTTCGCAGATTCACAGACATTCCAAATCCTTCGGCAAATTAGTCATTCCGAAGTTGACTGGGGATGAATGTTAATCAAAATTGGTAAGTCGACAAACTTTGAAGACATTTACATAAATACTCTTCGAATAATAAGCTTTCGAAAATCGCGATATTTACTATGAAATGCACTGTTAGTACTGTTTGTTTTTTGGGACGCGCGTCCCAAAAACAATCTTTTAATCAGTAATTTCACAATTTTCGAAAGCTTATTATTCGAAGGGTATTCATGTAAACGTCTTCAAACTTTGTATACTTACTAATTTTGAGGTGGTCGTTTTAGTGATTTGGTTCATTTCTTAATTTGGGCACTTTTTAACACTCGTCTCCAGTGAACTCATCGACTTCGGAATGGCTAATTTAGTCTGTCAAATACTCACCAAAGAACACCAAAAGAGTGCTTTTGTTTTTAGCACCTTCGTCAGGGAATTCCCCAAAGTCACCTTTCATCAGCTCTTGACTCAGTGTCAGGGGATTGGGGCGAGTTGCGCCGGAAGGTTGGTACACGCCATCTTCGTAATGAGACGGCACGCGTCGAGTCAGCGGCATGTCTGGAAAAGATTGAGTGACATTTTGAATTTGCGTAATTTAAGTGGTTTGATACATTGCCTAAGATGTGTTTCACCATGGATTGTAAAATTACTGGATAGGAAACTTCCTGACGTCACCGTCTAAACCTAGTTGCAATCTGTGACGTCACGTGTATTGCCAAAGTTCTCAGCATTTTTGTTGTTTCGCTATATTTTCCGCTTTAAAAGAGTAATATTGAAGCATAAACTGGTCTTAAATTGTTTTAAAAACATGCCTAAGCCACGACAAAGTATTCAAGGTAAATGTTTTTCGTCTTTGTTTTGTATTTTTTTTACATTTGTAGCTACGAAATTGGCGTCGCCAATTTTAACGAAATTTGCGATGCATTTTTCACTGTTTAGTGCTTGAAGTATTTGCTAAAATTGACCGGGAATACTTAGAGATTTCATCGTAGAATGGCCTAGTTGTATTTATTTGCTCTTTGACTAAAATGTTTAGCTGTATTATTGTTAAACATGCCGTTTTTGAGACTTTGGTTTGCAACTAGGTTTCCAACATCCAACCACGCCATCAGCCCATTGAAAACATTAGGTTACGTCAGCTAGTTTCCTATCCATTTATTTTATTTTGTTTAGTACCTGAAATATTTGCTAAAATTGACTGGAAATACCTAGAGATTTCATCGTAGAATGGCCTAGTTATATTTATTTGCTATTTGGCTAAAATGTCTAGTTGTATTATCGCTAAACATGCCGTTTTTGAGAATTTGGTTTGCAACTAGGTTTCAACGCCATCGCCCCCCCCCCCCCCCAATTGAAAACATTAAGTCACGTCAGCTAGTTTCCTATCCATGTATTTTAATATCCATGGTTTCACTAAGCACTATCGTGCAGTAAATGGCGGTGAACCTGCAGTTACCAGAGTGAGAAAATAATGTTCATTCTTTTCATTATATGTAGTAGTCTATATGTACTATTTATGGCGGGGTGGCACCGAAGAGAAAAGCGTTGGGTAAACAAAATTTTGAGTGAGTAAAAGAATGGGTAAATGAAAAACCAAACAACTCAATGGTTGGGTAATACGTAAAAGTCTATTGTCATTTCCAAAGCATGGCTCACTCAAATATTGAAGACTAAAAAGCAATGTCAACAGTCGCATGTCAATACAATATGTAAATCAATCAGAGTCACTATCTTCTTGATCATTTTCCAATTTGTCACGTAAATAGAGTCTCCAAAGAAAGTACATGTGCAGACAACATGAAACTTTAGACTGCAGAAAATTGCACAAGCAGTTATCAAACTCGTGTCACAGAAGTGTTAAAAGACATGTGTGACAATTGAATGGTATCCTTTTGTAACGTTTTTGACCAGGGGTGGGTGTAGTTCCTGAATGATATCTGAGGTTGGTTATTAAATTTTTTTTTACTTTTTAATGGTCGAATCAGGAAATTTTTTACCAAGAATCTTGAGTTAATGAATCTTTTACCAAAAACCATTTACTTGATAAGCCTACGGCTTTTGAGGGAAACATTTTAAGAAAAGTTTATATAAAAAAAAGCCAGCAATGCACATAATTAAAACGTGTATACCAACATACCAACAGCGCCCCATTCAGGATGAGCTCTGTTGTTGTAAAAGCCATCATAACCTTCGTATTCTATCTCAGCCTCTTCATGACTGCGGTGAGAGATTATTGGAAAGTTCGGAAGGTGAGAACCTTGTGAACTTTGTGAACTTTGTGAAGGACCTAAATACAGTATAAAAATAGACATTAACACATTAAGTAAGACTTCCGCATCACACTCAACACAACAGTAAAATACCCCCAAAACTTTAAAATTCAACTCGAACAGCTTAGAGCTGCCGTTTTGCGTATTTTCTTTTATTTACAAGACCGTTGATAACCATTCATATCATTTTCAAACAATATACGAAAATCAATAAAAAAAAAACAGACAGTCTGGACTTCTGCATCATCACATTTAACACAACAGCAGTGCCATGATCCAGTGATCAGAATGTTCAGTGTCTTTTCATTGTTTTAAAAATCCCACTGTTCTCCATGCCATCCAGTCATGATCCACTGATCAGAATGTTCCATTGTCTTTTCATTGTTTTGAAAATCCCACTGTTTTCCGTGTCATCCAGTCATAATGCAGTGATCATAACCTAAGCAACCTTTAACCAACCCTAATTTTAACCAACCCTAACCCTAATCTTAACCAACGCTAACCTTAACCAACTCTAATCTTAACCAACCCTAACCTTAACCTTAACCAACCCTAACCTTAACCGTAACCTTAACCAACCCTAACTGTAACCAACCCTAACCGTAACTGTAACCAACCCTAATCCTAACCAACCCTAATCTTAACCAACCCTAACCTTAACCAACCCTAACTGTAACCAACCCTAACGGTAACTGTAACCAATCCTAACGTTAACCAACCCTAATCTTAACCAACCCTAATCTTAACTAACCCTAACATTAACCAAACCAGCCGTAATCTTAACCAACCTTAATCTTTAAGCCTAATCCCTAATCCTAAAGCAAATTGTAGGCGTGATCCTAGCTAGAAATTGTGAACCAAAGTTAAGTCTCTCATATTTAGTTTAGTTTATGACTTTATGTAATACCTTGTGTAGGTGGGTTTGCTGTTGAACCAGCAGTAACAGGACTAGTAGATGGAGATTGGGTTGTAGCAGAAGCTGAAGGTGTAACAGGTGTAACAGCAGCTGATGTCATAACAGAAACTGGAGTTGCAACAGTAGTTGGAGTAGAAGCAGGAGAAACATTTGGAACTTGGGTACTTGAATCTCCAATAGATGTTGTTAAAATACTACTAGTATTCTGAGCCACTGGAAAAACAAACAACCATATTTAGCGAGGATATCTCAAATGTGGGGTACCATTACACCAGCCCAAAGGGTCCAATCATCGCATACACAGAACAACTAGGGAGTCCGGCCTTCCGAAGAATAGTCCCCCGGAAACTGTATTTTTATGGTCTGCGAAATGCTATTTCGTTCATTTTAGACACGTTTTATAATAATTTGAAAGTATATTTTATTATGTCATATATATGTATTATGTCATAAGTATATTTATTTATGTCATAGATGATTACGAGGTTCCGCCCCCATACTGGAGGAATTTCCATAACGCCCCCCACCCCCCCCAAAAAAAAAGGTCGCGTCATTGTGAAACAAAATCACGTGCGTAAAAATATCAAACTTCCCCCCCCCCCCGTTACCAAAAGAGCAAAATCTCCCCATGTACGCCCTCGCCGTGCGTCAAATATATTTTGGCAAGATAATCCTTGAGCAAACAGGAAGAATGTTTGGAAAGTGAAACAATGTGGGAGACATGTCTACAGTTGATTTCCTCATTCTTTCTTTTATCAAAATTCATTTGAATAATGGACATGTTCAAACATGAAAATATTTTTAAAATCTTGCCAGATAAAAGATTAACCGAGATTTCACAGTAAAGTAAAATTAAACTAACTTTATTTATATTGGATAGCTCTATCGGTTCTAACTGTTCTTTCTAGAGGTCCGGTAAGGATCATCTCCTATTGATCCAGTGTTGCTACCGAAGGAAACTAAACTAAACTAACTTTATTTATATTGGATAGCTCTATCAGTTCTAACTGTTCTTCCTAGAGGTCCAGTAAGGATAATTTCTTATTGATCCAGTGTTCCTAAGAAGGAAACTAAACTAAACCAACTTTATTTATACTAGATAGCTATATCGGTTCTAAACTGTTCTTCCTAGAGGTCCAGTAAGGATCATCACTTATTGATCCAGTGTTGCTACAGAAGGAAACTAAACTAAACTAACTTTATTTATATTGGATAGCTCTATCAATTCTAACTGTCCTTCCTAGAGGTCCAGTAAGGATCATCTCTTATTGATTCAGTGTTACTACAGGAGGAAACCTAAACTAAACTAACTTTATTTATACTGGATAGCTCTATCGGTTCTAAACTGTCCTTCCTAGAGGTCCAGTAAGGATCATCTCTTATTGATCCAGTATCACTACAGGAGGAAACTAAACTAAACTAACTTTATTTAAACGGGATAGCTCTATCAGTTCTAAACTTTTCTCCCTACGGTCTTAGAGGTCCAGTAAGGTAATTATTATCCAGTGTTACTACAGGAGGAAACATAAACTAAACTAACTTTGTTAATACTGGATAGCTCTATCAGTTCTAAACTGTTCTTCCTGCAAGTCCGTATCGATCATTATATGAAACTCTGACTCTGTCTTGAGAATTGTATCGAAAACTCAGGAAAAATTTTAAACTTGCTGAGACACATACTAATTAAAGCGGCAAAGTATATAATTATACAACATATCCAAGTCTAGACCATTCTATAAAAGCTGTGTTCCTTTGCAAAGTATCTGCCTAGGAGCATTTAGATTTTTCCTGATAAAAACATTACTGTAGATATGTGTCTGGATTCAAATAGTACTTCGATTATGTAAACCGCAGGGTTTCTGAAAAGGACCGCGTGAAATCTCATGGAAAGCGAATTCCTGAGAAAAGTGCAGAACTTCAAAGCCAAAGGGATGGTCAGGCTGTAGCAGTAGGTAGACTTCAAAGTATAGTAAGATGATGACGACAAACTATACCGACTACTTTTAAAATAGTTTTTGTTATATGTGTGCAAATACTAAATGCTTGTCATAATAAATTTATCCCAAATATGTTTTATGCATGGGGGTTTTGTGTTCGGCACAAGTTTCATCTTTTAATTTTCATCATTTCTTTATAAAAATACTCTCCAACCTACAACGTTGCGTAGTCAGTTTCGGTGCTAATGTGCCATGTTCTTGATTCTGTTCTACAACACAAGAATGTAATTTTTACGCTGTAGCCAAGGTCGCTACGGTGAAAAGTATGCTCTGGGATATGTAAATTTTGTCTGCCTCTGTTAAAGCAATGTGAAAACAAGCTTTCAACCGTACGTACTCCGTACCCGTTGTTCGTTGTCGGCATCGTACTGCTCCCTAGTGTCCCTAGTAACCTGCCCGCCGAAAATCTGAAACGAAAAACTAGGGAACTTCAAAGCCAAAGGAAGGATATAGGCTGTAGGTACTTCAACAATAGCGCCAGCTGGATACAAAATGTAATATACTCGAAATGATTTGAATAATATATTTGCATTGATAAAGATCCAGGTTTAAGTTTCGACAGGTGACAATGGATCTTAGCAACAGACTAAAATTCGCTCTCTTTGTTGTTTTTGTTAATTATGCGACGCAAAATTGTTTCAATTTCCCCAGGAATGTAATATTCACCAGTAGGGGACCCATATCACGTTGCTTATTTTGTAAAGATTAAGAAATGAGAAAAAATAGTTTGATATAATAATAACGTATTATTGCCAAGTGCAGCTATACAAGGAATTTATCTGAGGTTTCATATTTCATAGCTCAACATACAGCTGGAGTTATTGCCAATATTGGTAAGCCCAAGCCGGAAAATTCTTGTTTATCACAATCTACACTAGAACTCATAATTCCTGGAGTTGAAATCCCATGTTGTTATTGACATGAAAGAATGAATCCCGGCCAGTCTTAATCAACAAACATGCTTGAGATTTTTCCGTTTTAACAGAGATAAACATCGACGTATAAGATAACGAAATGCCATTTTAAAAAGTCTTCCACAGAGTGGGTTTACGGGAATCGATTTCGCAGGCTGTTGAGTGTTATTCCGAGAATACATGAGGAAATGAATTCCGATGCAGCATGTGACAGTTATATCTTCCAACTTATATTAATTCGCGAGTTCCGTTGAACAACAATATTCATTCTCTCGAGAGTGTTCTTCAGCTGAAGGAAAGATTTCAATAAATTGTCGCTTCTAAAATACATATCTTTATATTTTTCATATCTTTCCGTGCGCAACCATTCTCAGCATATGAAGGAAGTAAAGAGCGCAAATGCGCCCATGGAATGCGCAAAATCATAATCATAAAAAGAAAAACACATTTATAAAATTGATATGCTCTGAAAATATTTAGCAAATTCATGTTTTGAAAACAAACAAACGAGCACGGGGCGTAGGCGTGAAAGCGCGAATGATAGAGTGGTTTCGCCTTCGTAAGCATAATCCTTTTAGCACCGGTCAGGTGATGAGAATTGGCAATGACGCTTTGTTACGCCGGGGGGGACGTTTCAAGCTCTGGATTACCAAAATAAAGATTTGATGAGTGTTCCAACTACGTTTTACCTCGAATAGAATACATGATAATGTTGGGAAAGTATTAAGAACAGCTAACCAAGCTCGCGTGACTGCAAACTCTGATCTCTACAGAGATCTATATTAATCGTGCTGTGATGCACTTTCATTTATACGATCGACTCATTTGCATGTTTAGCAAGGTCTAATCAATATATTCAAGTTCTGCTTGTATTGTTCAAGTAGTTGCACATCCCTATCAACGAAAGCTTGTTATTGTTGACACTACCTAATACAATCTAATTAAGAGATCTTCATTCTATGGATTTCAATTCCTGTAGTTACGGTCGTAGGGCTAGGAATTTTTACAGCCGATATCTCCACTATGGTCAAAAGCGAAATCTCATGAAAGATTGAAAACAAGTTTCAATATTAACAAAGTATCCTTTTGTAACATCAATATATATGAAAGCAAAACAATATATTTAAACCATGTGGGTAGCTGCTGCTATCAATATCAAGAATTTAAACTTTCACACCAGGAAATACGTTTGGCAAAATATTCAATCATTGTTTCTCCTTTTCGTTTCAAATTCCGGTACAGTCCTAATTAAAAGCGCAAAGACTCTTTGATGCGATTACGCATTTTTAAATTGAGAAGCAATTATATAAATTATCTAAAATTCCGATTCCTTGCGTAGGTAGGGGTCTTGAAAGACTGCACATTCTTCTTATGTCAAATTATTTATACAAGCTTTTCGATTACTAAAGCTAGCAATCAAACTATTCGAGCTATGCTGCATAAACCAGTCCAGTTTCTACTCTTTATGTTGGATTTATCGAGGCAACATAGACGATAATACAAAACCACGCCAAAATTCTAACGAAACACAATCAAAATATATGAACCTAGTTAACCACTATATAAATTGACATAAACTCACAAGACAGTGGTTTGTAAACACTTCACCGACAACAAAAGAAGGACTTAGCGTTTAGTTGACAAATTGTTAGTTTTCAACAGGGCGCTGATTTTCAATGTAGGTAGTCCCCCTTCCTAATATATAAGTGCCCTGGCCTTCCAAACTAAGCACAAAATGAAAGTTTATGTGAAATATGACACTAGCTGACAAATAGATTTTGAAATACATCTTGTAGGGTAATCTTGATTTTAAAGCTTCAAATGTTTGAAGCTAGCAAGATTCGGGCTCCTTTGCTCCAAGACCAAGTGTTTGATATATAATTATACATGACAATGCCTAGGCTAGAGGAATTTACAATAATAGCATCCAAATGTATAATCACAACAGTCACGAAGTCACAAATAGTTGCATTTCAGAATAGGTGACAAATTGCTATCAAAACGAAGGGAGTTTGTTTGTTGGATATAGCAAGCCATTGGCTAAATAATCTATCACAGTTAATTAAGTCAGCGAACGAAGGCAGTATACCACATTGTGACGCTGTCTCATTGACATTGTATACTGCAAATAATTCATTCATAACCTATCTTAACACGATATATTATTTACTATTTCGAGGGTTTAAACAAGTACATGGGTCATTCGATTCCCATACTTCCTAAAATGGAATATATACACTGGAAGATAGACGCTTAATTAATAAAAAAAATATTAAAAAATTTTCACGCCAAAATATTTCGCTTCCGGCATCGGAAGACATAAAGTATAGATTACAGTCGATATGAATAACAAGCTACTTGCTTCAAGAATGCAACAATTAGCAAGGAAAAAACGGTGTCCTTTAGTCTTTACAGCAAAACATGTTAAAGTTCTTCCTGCGCTTTTTAGACAGCGTGTTCCTTCAAGCAATAATATGAATACTGTAGAATATCACCTACACTGAAACCCCAAGATTTTACAGTAGATGATATTCTTCAACGTATATCTGAAAAATATAACAAGGACGTTTTGAAACGTCGGAGATCTTGTTATGTTTTTCAGGTAGTTTGACGTGAAATCCTTCGAGTAATATTCTTCATCGCTGCCTATGATGGAAACCCGATATTGAAGATTTGGAGAATGGTAATACATACTATGCTACTAACCTGTCTGATCACAACAGTGGATCAGGATGACAGCAAACACAGCAAAGGCCTTCGGGCCAATGTAGGTTGCCATTGTAGAGGAGCTAGTTGAAGTCTTCTTCTTGCGGTAATGCTGTAGATCGAATTCAACGGTGGAACTTTTAAACCAAGGACGGACGAGAGCGTTTGCCGTAATACCAGGAAGACGGCGAAACAGGGCGTTTGTCGCAGGAATGTATCAGGTTGCGGCGAGGGAACCAATAGTATGCGCTGTTTACCAATGCATGACCGAACATATATCTCGCACACCAGGAAGCTGTATTGAAATTGAAAATACAAAGTCAGGAATTCGGTGCTCAAAACAGCTTTCGAATTACTAGGAATTCTGAAATATCCGCATTTGCAAGCTTACGCTAAAGCTCAGCTGACAAGGTAAGTTTCGTTTCTCGTTCGTTTCTTAGTATCGTTGTTTCGTTGTGAATAATGACCGGATCTTCGCTTTTATACAGCGTGCATTTGAAAGAGGGTTTAATATCGTCATATTTGACAAACAACGCCTCCGTGCGAGCGTTCGCATTTTCGATTGAAAATATTTCACTTCGCTGTGAGGAAAATAGTCGCATCATTTTGCTTGCCGCTGCAGAGAAGGTACTATTCTACAGAGGTAGGTTATAAATGGCTTATTATTTCGAAGGGTTTGATAATTAAACATTGTCATTGCAACTTATATATTGTATCGCTGTTTGACAATGATGTGTATTGTTAAATATATACCATTAGAAATGTATCTTAGGCTATCTTGGGTAAGGCTCGCCGCTCTTCTTGGGACGAAACTCGCTACCAATCACCGACGTTCTTGAAAGGACGAACTCAGCTCTTATTTCCAACCATTTCTGTACTAGGCGCGGGCTAGGCAGAGCCGACTAGACCTTTGCGACAAGAGAAGACTTGGATAAACTTCAAGACAAGTTAACCTCTATTCTAAAGCGAGTAATTCTATCCACACTATTTAAGGGAAGTTTTAAAGCTGCCGTAAGACATTCAGCCCAGTTAGCCAGTCTCATCAAACAACTCCATAGGTGGTGGCCTTGAAATACAATATGCAACAGGTTTGCCTGAAGAATGTTGAATTTCCAGACGAAGCCCTATCACTTGAAACGTCAAGTTGTATATTCAGATCTTGAGATTCTTCAGGCAACGCTCAAAGTAGTTTAATAATGGTAGACTTTTGACATGGCTAAAGCTATTCAAGGCAATATTCAATCATCTGAACACGTACAGGCTATTCAGAACGCGAGTTAATTGCACAAATAGTGGATCATTTCCCGTTCCTACGCTTCTCAGTATAAAACTAGCGAGAATCTACGAAAAATTAAAGCCTAAAGGCTGGGGTTTATACTATCAAAGTTTCTGCGATCACAGTAGGAATTTTGCATGGGTATAAAATTCTTTGGAGGATTTGTAAGAATTTTTTTAGGCAACTGCCTACTCATTGTTTAACACCGAGTCGTTTCCCTCAAACATTTCTTACAAATCTTTCAAAACTTAGAATTTACCTTTGCAAAATTCCTACTGTGATCACAGAAACTTTTATAGTGTAACCCAGCCTTTAATAATTAACAGAAGGCTTCTGTGAATAATGCATCTTTTTCGACGTTTAATTCCTGCATGCATGAAAGTTGTTTTCGGATTTCTTGATTCTCACACGGAAGTTCGCAAATTGTATTTTGCGTTATCTGTGCCCTGGCAGCCAACACGCAGGAATAGCTGGCTAGCTTGTAGTTATAAATCACATTTATTCAAATATTTTTTTACGGGAGCATTCTTGCGTGACCTGCCTGACACTGTCATGCTATAGTTTTCTTGTCTAAACAGGCGCTGTTGTCGAAAGGGCTCTTTGAAAATATACGAACTTTGTGGGTAATTCCGCTCTTCTTGAAAGCGATTGAAAATTTGAGCGTTTAAGAATTGCGCGTAGGCAGTGTGACATAATAAACAGAATTGATGAAAGCTTATATGAAAATACAAGTAGGAGGGGCCTGCGCTCTTCTTGTATTTTTCGGGTAGTTTATCCTTTATATCAATCGACCGTTCGAGTTTAAGCCTGATTTCAATATGGTCGTAACGGCCGTAAAGATTGAGTTACGATCTTTCTCATCAGCCGAAATACAACATTTTAGAACTGAAAATACGCGGGTGATTATTACTAGAGAATACTTATGATTTATATGTGGTTTACAGGTATAAACTATTATAAGCTGGCCGTTGAGAAAGACGTGACTCTATTTTTACGACTATTACGACCATATATGGAAACCAGGCTTTTATGTCCGTATGCTAAAAGCTCACTCACACTCAATGAGTGGAGATTCAACCTGATCTTCCGTTGAGTGTCAATGCTGTTTTTGAATAGCTGGAGGGTGAGTAGTCACATAGTAAGGTACGACATTAACCCTCCAGCTATTCAAAAACAGCATTGACACTCAAAAGAAGCTCAGATTGAACCTCCACTCACTGAGTGTGAGTGTGAGTGTGAGTGTGCAGGGGCGGATCCAGACTGTAGCAACTGTAGCAAATGCTACAGTCAGATTTTCGTGCAAAAGTATTTTTAATACTGAATGTGGTGATAGTAAAAATTCCTTATAGAAGTTTTCCAGTTTCTCTATCTCAAAAAAATTAACTTCCGCATCTTCGACCAGATGTCCGTACGTTTTTTGTGAGCTACGAATATTAAGTTACGTTTTTACGCGCTTATCTTAACCTGAATTTTACCCAAAACAACGCCCGCTTTTAGGGGAAATCACCTAAATTTTTTAAACATCGTTCAAAAAGCGTTCAGAAAAGTGGTCTAAATATAGCGATTTATGACGTCAAAATGCTACAGTCAACTGGGGGTCTTACGTCAAAATGCTACAGTCAGCGGGGGGACGAGTTACTAAATTTAGCATTTTTGCTACAGTCAGATGAAGCAAACCAATCACAGTGCTGCAATGCGCTACAGTCAGCTACAGTCAGCTACAGTTGCGCAATTCGATAGGAACTTTAGAGCGATGTTATTTGGCTATATTTGTTTGCGCTTTTACCGAGCCAATTTCTTTCGAAGAAAAACTAAGTAGACTAAAGCGCTATGTGAGGATGCCATCGGCAGCAAAGTTAAGGCCGATCGCCTGAAAGATCGCGAGGTATTTGTGTGTGATTTTTCGAAATTACAATTCGAAACGGTGAAAGAGCGCGCTCGTTGAACCACGTTCGGGTCAGGTAAGCTTGTGAATATTAGAATATATTAATAAACTTAACAGAATATAAATGTAAACGCTCCGTGCCAGTGTTTGGAAATTGCGCGCCGGAGATTTCGAAAATTTAATAGTAAATATATAGAAAGCATCAAAATTGCGCGTCCGATATTTCCGCCGCGCGATACAAACTTTCCACATTGACATTGGTAAATGATAACAACACAAAGCTTAGGATTGAGAGATAGGGTACGTTTTATACTGAATTACCGTAACTCAAAAATACAAGCAAAACCTCGACATTTGGCTTGTATATTTAAGGGGTTGAATCTCTGTTAATCAGAAGGTTTCTTTCAGTATATAAATGTGTCTGTTTGCGTTATATATCGTTCTGCCCATTGATTTTATGCATTGATTGTAATTGTGTTTATATGTATGTTACACATGTGCGGTATGATATTAAATTACATATTAATATGGGGAGGAAGGCTGGTCTTAAACTTTGGATACAGTAATTAAGAATGTAGATCTGGTATGACTTGGTATGTCGTTTAACCATTTTACTGTCTCTTTACGTGTTTTTGTAACTTTTTGTCTAAAATACGGCCTTATTAAGGTCAAATTTTAGAACAGAATTCGATGCTCAGAATGCAGGAAATGGTGTTTCCGGGCTTCAAATTTCAAAAATTTTCCAGGGGGGCATGCCCCCGGACCCCCCTAGATTACGTGGTGCCTCCTCACTTTGGAATTATGCTACAGTCAGATTTTTAGCTGGATCCGCCCCTGGTGTGAGTGAGCTTTTAGAATACGGGCGTTAGTCTTTACATAACAATATACATATATACACATTGAATGCAAATAAGTTTTCATAAAAGACATATTGTTTCTTTTAAAAACTGCTTGCGGCAAGTTGCGATATTGAAACCACAACAGATAGGGGTAGCAAATCTTCGAGTTAAGCCCCTCGAGTTAAGCCCTTCGAGTTAAGCCCCAACCACGCCCTTTCGAGTTAAGCCCCGACCACGCCCATACCACGCCCATGTCACGCCCATTTCCGTTGAGGGCTTAACTCGAAGTACATAACTGGAATTAGGTACTTCGAGTTAAGCCCTCTAGAAAATAGGGGCTTAACTCGAGCAAAGTCAAACATTCTGTTCTTCGAGTTAAGCCCCAGCGTTTGAAAGATGCAAACGAGTTACGGTTAATCTGATCCCAAACAAATTAAAGAATCATTTGGATCGCGTTTCGTTCAATCACGGTTTAATACGTTTTATTTCAGCCGATGTATTATATATATTAGGGACTTTAAAGATTGAAGTTTACGGGAAACTGCTAACCGCAAACGGCGAATTTCAAATCGTAATTTGAAGTCAACTGTTAGCTGTTCGGGGTTAGAGCAACTTGTGAATAAAGATTGACCTTATCTCCGGCAAATTAAGGTCAATCTTAAAATATTATCAAATTTTATACCGGTGTCTCAAAAAAACACCAGACTCTGTTTGATTTCACGTAACGTAAAAGCTATGATAAAAGCTATCGCAATGAATTAAAGATCATTGCATTCATAATAGACTAACTTATATTTTGATTAGTAAATAATCATGAACGTGTCATGAGCTCAGGGCTGGTTTACAAGACGTTTATGATAACTATGCATACGCAGGTAATTTATTGAAGTTCAATTCATCAACTTAAGTCCTAAAGAGTAAATGGAGTTAATTTTCAATAGTTTTAGACCCAATTCTCAACGTGGAAATATGCACTTTCGTTGGAAATATGCACTTTCACATTATATGGTTCTTACAACTATTCCAGTCTTCATTATATGAAACGATTTCATTAGACTGCACACATTTCAAAACGGAAAGCGGTCGCAAAATGTCGATCGCTCCACAAACTGCGTAATGCAAATCTACCTTATATTAAATACCGGGTGTCTCAAAAAAACTGGACAGTATTTTTGACTTCATGTAACGTAAAAGCTATAAAAGCGATAATGCATTCAGAAATGACTAACTTCGATTTTGATATATAATATTGACTGCGCTATTGATGTTAATTTAAACGTTGAACTAATGTTTTTGAAAATAACAAAAATTAGCATACAGTAAAAGAACACTTATAATTATATATACTGATGCAGTTATAATTGTTAAATAATGTTTTAATTTTGGTTGTATCTCGCACAATATTGCATGTAAATTTAAGTGTTTTATATATCAAAATCTAAGTTAGTCATTTATGAATGCAATGACCTTTATTTCATTGCGATAGCTTTTATAGCTTTTTCGTTATATGAAATCAAACAAAGTCCGGTGTTTTGTGGGACACCGGTATAAAATTTGATAATATTTTAAGATTGACTTTTACGGCAGAAAATGTCAATCTTTATTCCTTTATTAATAGATAAAAGTAGCTGATTCATAGTCCAATTTTTATGCACAAGTTCAGTTGCTCTAACTTCCAACATCTAACAGTTGACTTCAAATTACGATTTGAAATTTGCGGTTCGCCGTAAACGTCAATCTTAAAGTCCCTAATATATATAATACGTCGGCTGAAATAAAACGTATTGAACCGTGATTGAACGAAACGCGATCCAAATGATAATTTAATTTGTTTGGGATCAGATTAACCGTAACTCGTTTACATCTTTCAAACGTTGGGGCTTAACTCGAAGAACAAAATGGTTGACTTTGCTCGAGTTAAGCCCCTATTTTCTAGAGGGCTTAACTCCAAGTACCTAATTCCAGTTATGTACTTCGAGTTAAGCCCTCAACGGAAATGGGCGTGACATGGGCGTGGTATGGGCGTGGTCGGGGCTTAACTCGAAAGGGCGTGGTCGGGGCTTAACTCGAAGGGCTTAACTCGAGGGGCTTAACTCGAAGATTTGCTACCCCCAACAGATATTGGTATAATGAGTTCTTATCAAGACAACTGTCTCTCTGTAGCTCAGTTGGTTAGAGCGCTGCACCGGAAACGCAGGGGCCGCGTAGGTTCAATTCCTGCCAAGGACCTAAAGTTGCATTTTTCGCTTCTGTTCATGGTTAGGTCTGATAAATGTACATACATTTCCACTCAATAATTCCATCTACAATATCCATCAAATACAGTTCTTATCAAGCCCATGGAGATTAGTATTAACTAGTAAGTAGTTGTTTGTGGTGTTACTCTGAGTGTATATCCACATCGGGCGAGCTTGAAAAATATGCCCGGCCACGGTGGGAATCGAACCTACGAACCGTCCCGCGCTTCTTCCCGCGCTTGCATGCATCTCAGCCAATCAGGTACAAGTAATTTTGCCCTGAATTAAGAAAAAATGCCCTCATCATTAGCCAATCATATTTGAGTAATTTTGCCCTCTATATGATTATAACCAAAATGCTGCATGATAGCCTTACCCTCGACCTACATACAATACGACAACAGTGAACAGGCTTCATTGAGCGGTACAGGGGAGCATGCTAGCCTAGTCACGTCCACAAGCGCTACAGTGATGTATTTCGCTTCTTTCTAGCAGCAAATTGAAACTTTGTGTCGCTGGTAAACATGGGTCTCTACGACGCATTTCGTGATAAGCCGTTTCAGACGGCCTATGGAGAGAATAAGACGGCGGTGACGGTTGACGTTTTGGAAGTTGGTTTGATCCTAGCTTTCGTCTTGTTGGCCTTTTCATTCTTCGTCGTGCTACCTGGCTTCAGACATAGAGAGGTAAAGAATGGGGCACGTTGGGAAGGGGGTCTCCCTTAATTACGTTGGGAGGGGGGGGGACTCTCCCTTCATCAGGGTTGCCAATAGAGGCCGCATCATTCTTATACTAAAGAAACGTTCAGGGAAAGGTCTCTTGCTTTTATAACATACATACTTATATATTTTCGCTAAATATTTGGATATGACAACATCTACAAAACTACTCCCCAAAAATGGCTGGAGATGCCTAAATTTCAAAACGGTCTAAATTTCAAAATGGTCTAAATCTCAAAATGGTCTGAATTTCAAAATCTTCGTGGGGAGACGCCTTCGCACCCCCCTTGGTAAGGTACCTTCAACCCCACATAGCCACCCACAGTATTTTTTTCGAAAAGTTTCCTAGTCCAAAGTTATTGGGAAGCCGGGTTCATCGACACGCACTTCTTGCTAATTATACTCAAGTTCTCAATTTGCGTTCTAACTCGAAACGACTTCTCTCAGCCCCAAAGTCCAGTGGGTGAATTATTCGCGACTGTTCCTGGGTCAGTTAGGGTTTTAAATAGTACGTAAAATAAATTCGTCCGAAATTTCCACCTAAGATTACTGAGAGATTTGTGTAGCGCAAGTTGACATGTTTACGCTTACCTAATTATACATACTTAGCCTAAAATATTTTATCTTCCACAACAACTGTGGTATTACTTTCTTAACTGTGTTTTAACTTATGTTTATCTTAAACCCACCCTGTCAACTTTCCCTACGGGAGAAAATCGGAGCGCCCGGACAAACCCTACGACTTTCGGCGAAGCGTCGACTGATTCTTTGACATGCGTGGGCAACGAGATACCATGACCACACACATGAAAGCCCACTTGCTCTGACACCTGCGTCACAGAAAACCTTACAAAAACTACAAAACTCTTATTCAAAAGAGTTTTGTCATTAAATATTTCAAGACATGGCCGCCTTAGAACGCCCGCCACTCTTTGAAAGACGGAGATAGGCAGCCAGGAATTCCAACGCTTACTTTTCATCATAAATGAAACATGACAGCCACGATTGACATCGCCCACGCGTGCTCTAAATTATACACTTTCGATTGCAAAACGAAAGTAAATATTGTGAAACAGCACAAGAGGTCATCCCTTTCTGGCTTCCTGTGCTTTGTCGCATATTTTGTTTCGTTCTTTTCCATGATTTATGTTCATTTGTGCGCTAATGAAAAAACTTAATCTTTGTTTACATTCCTTAATCCTTACAAAACTTTCTCGTGTCATTTATCATGAAAGGGTCATCATGCACGAAGCCGTAGCACTAACAGCTTCTATGATTGGTTGATTACGACAATGAAACACAATTAGACTACAGAATAAGTTTTCTAAAGAAAGAGCCACAAAGCCTATAGCTTAAAAATTAATATGTTAATTATGCTAATTTAATATTATATTATATTACAGTCGACTTTTATCAAAATGTTTCGGAAGTTTTCGCAACGAAAAGTTCATATTGAAATTCACAAGTCGGTTTTTAATTGTAAACAAAGCCTCTGATGGATTACCCAGTGATGGATTACCCAGTAGGCTCAAGCCTATAGGCTATACAGGCCCGGGCTTTCAAGAGGCCCGTGATTTTCAGATAATGCACTTGTTATTGGAATTATTATTATTTTTGCCCTTAATTAAGTAATGAGATATTGATATAGCAGATAATCCCAATCCCTTGGCTTTCACGAGTGGCGACATTACTCACAATTTAACTGCGCAATGTTAAGGCCCTGTCACACTATTGCGTATCGTAGTAGCGTATGCCAGCGTATGAAAAATATCACTCATACGCCGGTATACGCTGACATACGCTAGGGGTACGTTAGGCATAGGTTGTATACGTTTCAAGCACGGTCGCATATGGTGGCATACGGCGAGGCAGAAAATTTTTTTAAGCATGTTCAAAAATTTTGTGCGTATCGGACTTATGCTTTATACGATAACACGCTGAATACGCTAGAGGTACGCCAGATCACAGTTAATAGAATGAGATTAACTGTGGCCAGATGTACGGTACTCATACGCTGGCATTTCAAAGGATTTTTGTGCGTATGAAAATTATTTCATTAATTTTCATACGCTTCTCATACGTTTCTCTCATACGCAATAGTGTGACAGGGACTTTAAGCACTCATGAATCACATGAAGTACTGGCATAATTAATGGCTATTTCTGCTGACTTTCTCAATAAACATTCCACGACGAGCGAAATGCGAAAAATTTCGCGCGAAAACACACTTGTGCGAAAATTTTCTCTCGTAGTGATTACAGTCTGCGACCATTTGTCACTAATGCTGTACAGTGACGTAGACGTATAAATAGATATAATATTGTGCACTTCAGCACTTTAATGGCTTTCTAATTTTATTATCCAATCAGGTGCGTTACTTTAAATAAAACTTATATTATGTAAACAAGGTCAATAGACAATAGACAAGGTCAAGCAAAACAATACAACGAAATCGAAATATAAACTCGCAAAAAATATGCCAGTTTTGTAAATTCTACCAAATTTATTCATCCCAAAAGATTAAATGCTCTTTTGTGTGGTAATGTCTTTCCTAACAGCACCCAGAAACTTTATGTAATCGGTAAAACCGGTATACTTGTCTCGAAATTAGCTAAGCAAATTTATGCAAGTATAATTTTGAAACGAACCAATGAAAAACTGCCGATCATATTTCGTCGGTAGCTGTACGGCATTAGAGACCTTAAGATTGACGTTTACGGCAAACGTCAAACCGCTAGCGAAGTTTTTGATTTTACAACTCTATTATTATAGCTTTTACACCAGTTTTGAAATATGTTAAACTTATTAAACTTGTACTCTTTATCAATGATTTAAAGAAAGCAAATTAACCACTAGTCATGCCATTCACCAAAGCAGTAAATTAAGATTTGGCGTTTGAAGTTGGCGTTTGGCGTATAAATTTCATGCTTGAACTGCTACGAGGGCTTGTAGTCGTTAAAGCATGAAATTTATACGTCAAACGTCAACTTGAAACGCCAAATCTTAATTTACTGCTTTGGTGAATGGCATGACTAGTGGTTAATTTGCTTTCTTAAATCATTGATAAAGAGCACAAGTTTAATAAGTTTAACATATTTCAAAACTGGTGTGAAAGCTATAATAATAGAGTTGTAAAATCAAAAACTTCGCTAGCGGTTTCACGTTTGCCGTAAACGTCAATCTTAAGGTCTCTATTAGCGTCGAATGACAGCAGACTGTAATCCCGCGCGGGAGCGGGATGCAGTCTGCGAGCAGACTATGATTTCCACAGTAGAGAAAAAATTCGCCAAAACACAAGCATTTGATTGGTTTTGCTATTTTGTCATCCAAAACACAAGCATTTGATTGGCTTTGCTATTTCCATTTCGCAACGGACTAGACACGAATTCAACTCCCCGGCGAAGAGAAATATTTCGCAGAGAAACATTCCAAGATCATGTTGCGCATGCGTTCAACCCTATTCGCGCGAAATTTTTCGCATTTCGCTTGTCGTGGAATTAGGCCTTAATTCTTAAAGGAACGGGAGGGGCGCAAAGAGGCTGAATTTAAGCGGATTCCAATTTCCAAAGGTACATGTTCCTTATCGTTGGCTAAATCAACAGAACTTGCGTGGGAATATTATCCTCGTGAGACTTGCGAATTTTATCTAGCTGGTAATCCGCTACTATTATGATGAGCTTTGGAACTTCGCAACGAAATTTGCGAACTAATAATAATAATAATAATAGCTTTATTCATCCATCTTAAGATAAAAAAGTACAATGGACTTACAATTACTTGTTTAAGAAAACATTTCGGAACATTTTGGCAAAAGTTTTGTGAAATCGACTGCAAACGTGTCCCTATAACAAGGCATAACGACAAAATTTACTTAAAGATTCTGTTTATTTTATTTAACATGACAACCCGTCTTTAGGTTTTGTTTTCGTTGAGAACACTTAGAAATAATGACTCGTTCAATTGTGAAATTACTGCACACTGTGAGAGAACGCGTTTCCGTGTGGGAAATTAAATCGTCATCGTTAAAACGCGAAAAATTTGCTACGCACGTCAACCAGTTTGTAAAATATTAAGGAACATTTTATAAATAACTAAATTGCTTCCGTTGTCAAGTAATTAAATCCCGAAATTAAATCTAATCAAGTAATCATAAAAATGCGAAGCATTTCCAGTCAAGAGAATTTGCGTTTTTAAAAAAGATGATGAGGAAACAAGATCATGACGAATACCTTCGCGGAAATGTCAAAAAAGCTCTTTTTCTCTTTAAATAGAGTCTAGCCTCCACACAATGATGTCGCGAGAAGCATTATTAAGCCACTCCAAAAACATTATTCACCTACGTTTTGGTGCTATAATTTTTCTCGCATGGATAACATGTTTTGAATCTTAAAAGACCTTTCATAACTTTTGGCACAGTTCAAAACCTCCTCCAAACCATTTTCGACTCTTTCTCGTTTCGACTCGACGTTTCGAGCGAAGGCCCTTGAAAGGCCCTAGTTACTCCAGACTAAGGGCCTTCGCCTCGAAACGCCGAAATTCTCCTTATATATTTTCTGGTAGTTGTACCAACGAAAACTTGTTCATTTTTTTTAAATAATAAATCATCATCGTTCGTTTTTATTGCCAACACAGGGAGACTAAAAATAAAACCAATTTTCGCAATTAGAGTCAATTTAGGCGTTGGTAAAAGAGCTCTTTCAGCACAAAAATGTCTCTCAAGAATGTGTGGCGCTTATCATTATTGCATAATTGATTATTAACTTTTACAGACACTTAGGGAGCGTAGGGGCAAAGAATTTGACGACTAAACGTGCTTTATAACTTACGTGTGCGTCTAAATTTATTTTCAGCGACTCTATGTGGCCATCCGTATTGTTGTCAGTCTGTTCATTGGAGCAGTCATTATACGTAAGTGATATTTAGGGATGTTAGGGGATAGAGGGTATATTCAGGGACGAAATGGGATAGAGTGAGGATAGATGTAGGGTAGATTGTGCATTAATAAGGGGTAAAATTGTAAAGGTTGAAGATAGATATGGGATACTTGGAAGGTAGATTATGGATATATTGTCCATAAATGAGGAATAGCACTAGATAATTGAGGATTTGTTTAGGCTATATTGGTGATACATGCAGGATACTGACAGAACGAAGAGCTGTAGGATAATAGATGATAACTGAGGATAGGTTAAGGTAAAATGAAGAGTTGTAGGATAATAGATAGCTGCGAACAGGTACCTAGAAATTACCGCCACTAATCTTTCTAGCTGCGTGCTAAATTGAGGACGCCCTGCTTGTCCCATGAAACGGGATGAGCATAGCTAACCGTATGAACAAATGAAACAGGACACGTACGCCTTGTATTGGTCCGGCATGGCTTGACAACGTAGTCTTACGCCTGTATTCTAAAAGCACACTCACACTCAAAGAGTGAAGGTTTAATCTGAGCTTCCCTCGAGTGTTAGTGCTGTTTTTGAATAGCTAGAGGGTGAGTAGTCACATAGTAAGATACGACACAAACCCTCCAGCTATTCAAAAACAGCATTGACACTCAAGGGAAGCTCAGAGCCTCAAGGCCTGTTTACACGGGCGATTTTTGCTGCGTTCGGTTGCGATTTTCTCCTTTTGGAGGATCTGAAGGAGTAGATTCACTTAATGATGTTGTTATGAGATTTCATAACCTGGAACATTTATAACTCATCCACTCCTTTACATCCTCCAAAAGGAGAAAATCGCAACTAAAATCGCAGCAAAAATCGCCCGTGTGAACGGGCCTTCAGATTGAACCTCCACTCTTTAAGTGCGAGTGAGCTTTTAGAATACAGGCGTTAATGTACAGTTGAAAAACATTGTTTCTGTGACTGACGTTTAGTTTCCAACTTTGGTATGGAATGGGAGCACGCTGACATCGAGACCACGACTTTGTACAAGGCTTTCTCAGGCAAAGAAATCAACGCACACATCGCCATTAAGATTGGACTCAGGGGAGTGAATGTCACCATGAAAGGTACAGTACGTTCGTTGCACTTACTTCAAGTATTAACCAGAAGATTTTAGGAAAAACAATTTCTTTTTTGACTTGAATACCGTAACTTAAATCTCAATCTCTGTAGGCTTGATAGCTCAACAGGTAGAGCAGTGGACTAGATTCCTGAAGGTTGAGAGTTTAAATCTCGTGTACTTATAAAGAATAAGAACTCATCACCAATCTCTGTAAACTTGATAGCTCAACAGGTAGAGCAGTGGACTAGATTCTTGAAGCTTAAGAGTTTAAATTTCGTGTACTCATAAAGAATAAGAACTAATCATCAATCTCTGTAGACTTAATAGCTCAACAGGTAGAGCAGTGGACTAGATTCCTGAAGATTGAGAGTTTAAATCTCGTGTACTTATAAAGAATAAGAACTCATCACCAATCTCTGTCGGCTTGATAGCTCAACAGGTAGAGCAGTGGACTAGATTCCTGAAGGTTGAGAATTTAAATCTCGTGTATACTTACAAAGCATTACAACTCATCACAAAATCTCTGTAGACTTGATAGCTCAACAGGTAGAGCAGTGGACTAGATTCCTGATTATTGAGAGTTTAAATCTCGTGTACTTATAAAGAATAAGAACTCATCACTAATCTCTGTCGGCTTGATAGCTCAACAGGTAGAGCAGTGGACTAGATTCCTGAAGGTTGAGAATTTAAATCTCGTGTATACTTATAAAGCATTACAACTCATCACAAAATCTCTGTAGACTTGATAGCTCAACAGGTAGAGCAGTAGACTAGATTCCTGAAGGTTGAGATTTTAAATCTCGTGTACTTATAAAGAATAAGAACTCGTTAGCAATCTCTGTAGACTTGATAGCTCAACAGGTAGAGCAGAGGACTAGATTCCTGAAGGTTGAGAGTTTAAATCTCGTGTATTTATAAAGGATAAGAACTCATCACCAATCTCTATAGACTTAATAGCTCAACAGGTAGAGCAGTGGACTAGATTCCCGAAGATTGAGAGTTTAAATCTCGTGTACTTATAAAGGATAAGAACTCATCGCCAATCTCTGTAGACTTGATAGCTCAACAGGTAGAGCAGTGGACTAGATTCCCGAAGACTGAGAGTTTAAATCTCGTGTACTTATAAAGGATAAGAACTCATCACCAATTTCGCAGCCTACAATTTCAGAGAAACATTTGTACGCTACTTTTCATTCATTATAAACCTCTGGGAATCTCTTGACGAACGGCTCGTCAGATAATTTTTGGCAGCAAAGAAAACCTCAAACTTAACTTCTAGAGTAACTTTCATCGAAAAATATAACATATTTAACATAAAGTTTAAAAATGTAGGTCAACATTGAACTTTGTAAGTCAAACTAGCATGGCCTAAAATTTTTGGCCACAAAAAGTTCGCAATTCGCACCCTGAAACAACAGCTCTTGACGAATAATCCATCGGTTTCTGGCGTTTATAGCAGGGGCGGATCTAGTCTCATCTCAAAGGAGGAGTGCAGGTTTTCCATGGGGTGGTGCAAGAGGGAGCCTTACTGCCCACTCCCCTCTGCAGTCTGCAACGCTACTATCCCAACACTACCATTATTTGAGATGGCCAAATCTGCATGTTCGCCGTTCTGTTGCGTTTTATATTATCTTTTCTTTATAAAGTATATATCGGCTTTTTATCACGTATGCATGATTGGACAGTTGCTGTAGCACAGTACAGTAAATTTGCTTGTTAACGTATACAGTATATTTGAAAATATGGCTGTACAACAACCTCGCTAATCGCTATTCGCATAGGGGGTGGTACTGGACTTCTCTAGGGGCGGTGCTAGACACCCCTGGTTTATAGACAAACGTCTCTAATACACCACTAACTCTCTCTTGTTTACGAACGATCGTTCATGACGAATCGTTTGCGTCTAGTATCAACCACGCAATGGTTATCGTAATATCAGGGCCGTAGCAATCATTCATTTTTCAAAATCATGCAGACCTTTATCATTTAATCCATGAAAAACTGCAAAGAATGAAGATATTACCCATACTTTCCTGCAACTTATCCAATATATAGTTAATTTACTTAATTAAATACGCCTTCGCCCATTTAGTACTACTGAATTGTAAATTTCGACATACTATAACGCTGTTTTCTGACCATCAGAATTCTGTCAAATCTTCCCCAAAGTCCAGGAAATGGCATTTCAGAGACTCTAAATTTAAAAATTTCCTCCGGCCTTCGGCCAGACCCCCCCCCCAATCGAAAAGAGCTTCCTACGGCCCTGAATATTGATGAATTTTTCAGGTAAACCCGATGTGAACGTTAGGCTGGACAATAATACAGTTGAAAAAGTTGATTACAATGAAAGATTTCACTGGAACTCACCTTGGGCGCAGGGACGTATTGGCTTCGGACCATTTGGTTAGTATGACCATAGTTCTCTACATCTCTTTATCTTTAAATCTAGTGCAGGGAGGAGAGAAATTAGTATCAACATAAAACAGTTGTTTAAACACTACTAACTTTATTTATATTGGATCGTTTTCCAAACTATTCAACTTAGAGGTCCAGTAAGAGTCATCTCTTATTGATCCAGTGTCACTACAAGAGGAACCCTGAACTAAACGAATTTTATTATGCTGGATAGCTCTATCAGTTCTAAACTGTTCTCCCTGGATCATCTCTTATTGGCCCAGTGTTACTTCAGGAGGGAACGTAAACTAAATGAACTTTATTTATACAGGATAGCTCTATCAGTTCTAAACTATTCTCCCTACAGGTCCAATAAGAGTCATCTCTTATTGATCCAGTATTACTACAGGAGGAAACCTAAATTACTAAACTAACTTTATTTATACTGGATAACTCTATCAGTTCTAAGCTGTTCTTCCTGGAGGTCCAGTAAGAGTCTTCTCTTGTTGATCCAGTGTTACTACAGGAGGAAACCTAAACTAAACTAACTTTATTTATACTGGATATCTCTATCAGTCCTAAACTGTTCTTCCTAGAGGTTCAGTTAGGATCATCTCTTATTGATCCAGTGTTACTACAGGAGGAAACCTAAACTAAACTAAACTAACTTTATTTATACTGGATAGCTCTATCAGTTCTAAACTGTTCTCTTTACTACATAGCCTATATAAATTGAAAATGCGTCCAAAATGTTTGCGTATTCTAAATCACGAGGATGTTGATTCTAACTCTACACTTTCTTTCAGCCGGCAAAATCAATCGTGACTTCCGTGAAGCTCAATTCAAAGGACTACCTTACGCCATATTATGGATAGCTGAATACTTCACGATTGACGGAGAAAATATCCGGTGGGGGAGATCGTACCGAATGGCAGGCTTTTATACCCATATATGTTTATGGTATGTACATTTCTCGTACACGATGATAACGGCGGTTCATCATCACCATCATGCATCACCATCGTCATTACCATCATTATCACCACCATCACCATCATCATCACCATCATCATCATCACCACCACCACCATCATCATCACCACCATCATCATCATCATCATCATCACCATCATCACCATCCTCACATCACCACCACTATCATCATCATCACCACTATCATCATCATCACCACCACCATCTCCACCATCATCACCACCACCATCATCACCACCACCATCATCATCACCACCACCATCATCATCACCACCACCATCATCATCACCACCACCATCATCATCACCACCACCATCATCACCATCCTCACATCACTACCACCATCCTCACATCACCACCATCATCATCATCATCACCATCATCACCACCATCATCAACACCATCATCATCACCATCCTCACATCACCACCACTATCATCATCACCACCACCATCATCATCATTATCATCATCATCACCATCATCACCACCATCAACCACCACCACCATCATCATCATCTTCACCACCATCATCATCATCATCATCGTTATTGAATTTAAACGTTATATTTCTTGATTTCTCACTATCTACATTCCATGCCATAACAATCTCCTCCTCTACTGTTCTATAATATGTCAATCATGAGAGGGGTGTGTCTACAACACTACAACCATCATCATCACAATCGCATCACTATCAAACGATCGTCACGATCACAATTATCATCACCCCATCAGCACCATCACCTCAAGACCCATCACTAACACCATCTCCTCTATATTTCAGGACTGCCTTTGCTACATGGTTAATCACTCTCATACTATTTTTCGTGGTGATATCCTACGCCTCACTCTTCCTGGGAATAACTGGCTCAATCATGGTATTAGGAAACATTATCTACGGGACACTACGTTGGGGTCCTGATCTGGTCATACCATTTAACTCTCATGCTAAACTTGAACCAACTTACGGATGGTGCTTCTATCTCTCCTTGCTTACAGGTTCGACTCGTAACTTCATTGACACTGGATAGTTCTATCAGTTCTAAACTGTTCTTCCTAGAGGTTCAGTAACGATCATCTCTTATTGTCCAGTGTTACTACAGGAGGAAACCTAAACTAAGCTAACTTTATTTACACTGGATAGCTATATCAGTTCTAAACTGTTCTCCCTAGAGGTTCAGAATAGATCATCTCTTAAGGCTAACTTCCACTCAGGAAAATCATCCGTGGATTGGAACGGACAAGAAAATTTTCTTTGTGTTAAAGTCATTAGTTCCAACCCAGAGCTCACAAGATAAAGAAAAATTTTCTTGTCCGTTCCAATCCACGGATAATTTTCCTGAGTGGAAATTAGCCTTTATTGATCCAGTGTTACTAACTTTATTAAACTAACTTTACTGATACTGGATAGCTCTATCAGTTCTACTGTAAACTGTTCTTCCTAAAGATCCCGTAAGGATCATCTCCTATTGATCCAATGTTACTTCACGAGGAAACCTAAACTAAAGTAACTTTATTAATACTGCATATCTCTATCAGTTCTAAACTGTTCTTCCAAGGGGTCCAGAATAGATCTTATTGATCCAGTGTTACTACAAGAGGAAACCTAAAGTAAACTAACTTTATTGATATTGGATAGCTCTATCAGATCTAAACTGTTTTCCCAAGAGGTCCAGAATAGATCATCTCTTATTGATCCAGTGTTACTACAACAGGAAACCTAAACTAAACTAACTTTATTTATATTGGATAGCTCTATCAGTTCTAAACTGTTCTCCCTAGAGGTTCAGTAAGGATCATCTCTTATTAATCCATTGAGTGTTACTACAGGAGGAAACCTAAACTACAGTACACTAACTTTATTTATACTGGATAGCTTTATCAGTTCTAAACTGTTCTCCCTAGAGGTCCAGTACGACAGAAAGAAACCTCAACTGAACTAATTTTATGTACGTATAATTTTATATTCCTAGGTATTGCCTGTATAATCCTGGCTGTAGTAATTTACGTCATCGACCTGTTCAACCCAACAGTGACTGCCTCATTTTTCAACATTGATATTCTCACAACTTTCGAGGACGAGGTGATATTTAAGACAACAGGCGGTGGCGAAGACGACGAGGGTGACAGGGAGCCAAACGGAGACGCTCAAGAAATGAGGCCTGTCGAGGGAAATGCAAATGGTGAACCGAGAGTTGGGGATGGCGAAGAGCATTATGGGAATGTTGAGGTATGAACCGACCACGTGATAAAAATAAACCAATCAGATGCATGTAGGCAAACCAAAATGAATACAGAATTAGAAAGTCACGCATTCTAGGAATATAGTATTGAAGAAATCTTGTATACAGGAAAATATGGCAATAAGTGACGTACGCTGGATGAGACCTAGCGTGGATACGAGCTTTTTTAGGGACCGGTCATTATTTATTGCGGGGGGGGGGGGGGGGG